TAAATTAATTTTATTTTTTTATAAACAAACATATGTTGTTTTTGCTCCTTAAAAAAAAAAAAAAAAAAAAAAAAAAAAAAAAAAAAAAAAAGCCAGCGAGAATCGAACCCTAGTCTCCAGCGTAGCAGTCCGGTACCTAACCACCTGCGCTACGCCGCCTTTCTAGAATATATTACTAACTTAACGATATATAAGCTACACTTCGCTATATAATTTAAATCGAGTTTTCTCGAAAATGGCTGAGAGGTGCGCCCTATCCTTTTGCTCAAGTATTCTTCTACTAGAGTACTATACAACAAAAAAAACCTTATTGAAATCGGTGACCCGAGGTTCGCGATTTCCCCTTGTAAGTTTATATGTGTGTTATTCCAAAAATATTGAACGCGAATAAAAATAAAATTTTACTTTTCTCTTTGTACTACGTTTTTGCATATGTTTGTTTTCTAAACAGCAATAAATACGTATGTAACTTTTTACGTCTAATAAATAAAAAGTTTGAATTTTACAGAGAAATTAATGCCAGCGTGTGTGTGTGTGTGTTGAAAGACAAGGTGCAGCTGAAAACGAGTGTAAACAAACACAAGTGATATGTATATGAGAATAAAAACTATAAATACACGCTATGATGTTGTTAAATGGTAAAAACTGTTTTAATGTATCTCATAGTTATTTTTGCTATAAAAGTTGTTTACTTTTGCATCAGTTTGTCTCTTTACAGAAATTTCCAAACTAAGATACACATACAAATTACTTATTTGATTTATCACATTATATCAAGAATTGCACAAAATAATAAAAAATTACAGACATCTAAACTCACACATTGTCAATGAACTTTGAGCTCAAAAAGCTAACACGTTACATTGTATATAAGTCAGTCGCATCTGATACATGTACATACGTACTTCGAAAAGCAAACTATTGGCGTTTTTTTATTTATTTTATTTTATTTTTTTTTTTTTATCAAATAGAGGGTATAAAGCGGTATTTTCACGCGCATCTTTCATGCATATGTATGTATATTGTATAATTTGCAGAAATTATTATAAAATTTATTCAAGAATATACAAAGTATATAATTTACCACGTACGCTAACAAATATGTAACTTTTTCCTTGTGAAAATGTAGAAAAAGTTACTATGATACATACTCCAGCAATTGTAGACTGAGGATATGCAATGCGTGGAAAAAAAAGATCATTGTGTGACGCGTGCTACATAACTATATTAAACACAAACACTAAATAATAATGAAACAAGTAACTTAATCACACTTTCCATACATTTGATAAAAGTCATAAAACGTTAGAAAATCAGAATTCAGCTACAAAAATGTGTTCATTTGCGAAACAACCTAAAATTTTATCAACAACCTAGAAGAGAGTAAACATAGTAATAATAATAATAGTAATTAACCTAAAGAGTATACAATAATATCAAGAGAGATAAGTATAAGTAGATAGTATTAATTTTCGTATAAAACGCAAAGCAATAATTGTTACTGCAACTCCTTCGGAGAGGAGAAAGAAGAAGTAACAGTAAACAAAGTTGCTCTGACTCATGATGATCGAGACTTCTGACAGAAATGTTGGATGATTCGAGACTGAATATTAGCTGTGTTCGCTCAAATGAGAATTGTTACTAGAGTTATTCATTAATTCGATAGATGCCATTGTAGAGTGTGAATGATTGGATAAAGATGTGGGATTATGTCGAGGATTAGTATTGTGGAGGCTGTGCAAATAAGATCTCTGGACGGGCTTGTGTTGACCAAGTTGCAGCAGAGCTTCTGGTATAGTGAACCATTTTCGCTTCCGACCAATAGCGCGCGAGTCTTCCCATTCTGGCAGCTCCTCCGTCACCCTCATAACCCACACTTCCGTTCTGTGTTTGTGTTCCGTGTTCTATGAAAGATGCATTGACGCGATCACGATATGTAGCAGATAAGAACAATTAAGACGCACTAAATTATTGTTTTTCTAATATAAAAAAAATACATGTAACATAATATTTGCTTATAGGGCATACATCACGAGTTATAACCTCAAATGTGCCAAGACAACGGCCTAACTGTCCTAGAACACCAGCTTCTTCTCGGACCTCACGAAGCGCTGTGACTGCTGGTTCCTCTTCGGGTTCAACACCACCACCCGGTACTATCCAACTGTCGGGTCTTCGACTGGATGTAACTAATAGTACCTAGAATTCACATTACACATGAGAAATCACGCGGGCGAACTTGCTCAACTTACTTGTTGATCTCAACAAAGCTCTGATCCAGCTGATGAGGACTGGTTGATTGAGAAAATAAAGAAAAAAGAAACGATTTGATCTCTCACAAACCAGCCAGCCACGTGATGATAAATATAAGGCACACACGTGTGTATATATTAAAATAAACTGCCATCTGCTGGCTGGAGCTCACCTCATCCTCGAGATCATTTTTGACGCAGATGCAGGCAGCTCTGCGTCTGTAACCCTCCGAATCGTATATACGAATCGAATTTGCCTTCTCCTTCACCATGTTGTAACGTGAATACCCTCTTCTCGCAATCCTTCGTAGATTCATAAATAATCGTCAAACGGCCCGACGGGCCATCCTATGCATCCGCGTCGTCCTAATGTTGTTCGTAGCCGACATGTTATCGACATCGAGTCCACTTTGCCGTAACGTGTGAACGTTGAATTCACGTGGAACGTGGGGCGGCTATAAGACTGTTGTGCCACCCGACAATTATTAACCTGGCGCTCACGATCTTCCGTTGACAAAAACACGTCCACCGCTGTCGATCCACGTCGTACGCGCGGCAGACCGTGATCGAAAAAAAAATCCGATTTTCGCCGGACGTTCGCTTATAACCTCAAACCTTGTTCTATGCGGGGACAGCAAGCACGCACCTCGACCCGATCACAAAGGCGCACACCGCAATCGAGACGCTTCCACCACCGCCAGAGTGTCGCGCGCCAATCCCGTTTCTCTCGCCTTCCTTATTCGCACAAAACGCCAACGCGCGCGACAAACCAACGACGCATCGGCAGCCAATCGCGTCTCCCGTTACATTTTTTCTATTTTCAGGAAAGCTGCCGAAGTGTGCGGTAATCATAAACGCGTGTACATAGGATGTTTCCCCTAATTAAAGATACAATCGAGAGAACGTACTGTTTTTACGCGTGCAAGTCGAAAATGTGAAAAAAATTCGTTTCGTCGAGACAATAATTGAGTTAAAAATTTAATAACAATTTCACACTCAAATGTCCTCTAATAACCTTGCGTTATATACATTTCTACGGCCGGTATTCATAGGCTGCGTTCGTGAGAGCGCGCTATCTCTGCATTATCGCAACACTCTGTCTTTATCGCTTCTCACAGGCATAAAACAAAGATAGAGTAACGTAATAAGCGCTGATAACGTGCTCTTCGAACGCAAAATCGGTTGCGCGACTAATCGATTCCAGCTAGTCGACCAACGTGACTTGTCAGTCAATTCCAACGAAATAATTAATTAAAAAGTTAAAGTCAAAAAGACGGTGTGCGAAACCATTACTCTTCTAGCGGTTGTCAATACAAATGGAGATATACAAAAAAATTATTCCATTTTCTATGCTAACAAACTATTTCATTACAAAGACTATTCTATTACGTAATGAAAAAAAAAAAAAAAAACTGTTGCAACTTTTATATTGTATATTTTTTTTAGTCAATATAACTTGTGATATATATTTTAAATTTGCTTTATTATAAATAGAACATTGTTAATTTTTTCAATTTATGTGTGTTCAATAAGAAGAATCTCAACTCAAATCACAAAAAGATAAAAAAAAGTATATATATACGTACGAATTGTCTGTTTATATGTGTATATATGTATATTGCGATATTAGGATATCTATCGGAAATTTTATCAATTGTGTGTTGTTCGTATTTGGATTTTCGTCGCGTATACTGTTTGTACACATAAAAAAATTTTTAGTAAAATTAGATAAATTCTCTAAAAGTCTATATAACATTTAGCTTATAAACTATATATTTTTAAGTCAATAGTATCATACATACAAATATTTTCTTCGTTTACAACCTGTGTGTCTACAGTTATTACAATCCTGCGAATTTAAGACTTTTATTCGCCCCTTCTTCGCGAAATTTCTTTCGGTTTTTTTTTTATTTTTTTATTTTCACGCGGAGCTTTCGAACTCTCGCGTCTCTCTCCTTCCCGACGATCAAATCATTAACGTTATAGCTCTCTCGAGTAGTGGAATTCCATTTTGTTATAAATATGTACACAATTTTATCAAATAAGATTATCGAAAACTAAACCACTCACGCACGTCATTAAATAGCGTATCTCCTTAGCCAATATAAGGGATGTCCCCCCCCAAAGATTCCTTTTTTTTTTTTAGTTTTTTTTTTAGTTTTTTTGTCCAATTTTATTTAACAAAACTTTTGACATAACTATATATAATTGTTAATTAGTTATTAAAACTTTAGAATTTTATATCAATAAATATGACAGCGTCAAGATATGTTTTTACACGTACATAAAGGAAATAATGAACGATAAAATGTTACAAAAACTATTTTTAACGTAATTCCAAAAATTTATCGCTCTCTCTCTCTTGTATATATATACACAGACATATTCTCTCTCTTTCTCTCGCTCTACCCTTTGTTATATCACATCTTGACAGCTTTATAATATAATTAAGATTTCAACGATATCATTGATTATGTTTCAATTATATACTTTTCACACACTCAATGTGATTTCCTTGCCTTTACCTTTCAAAACCTAAGTATACAATTTTTTTTTAAATTGTTACTTTATTATATATATATATTTATTACAACTAAAAAGGTGTGAACAGACCTATCAATGTAATACGGAATACCACTACAGATTCGAGAGCAAGGTGACCATGTGCTGCATACATGCGCCGCATGTACACACGCACACACATATATATATATATACACACACACATACACGCGCACATGCAACTCTCACACTGTTTTCCGTCCTGTCGTGCGTATACTATAGAATAACTATCTATTTGTGTCTCTCCTCGTCTCGTTGCATGTTACCTTACACTTTCTTCTTTGCGCTCTCTCTGTGTAATCGGCGCATGCAACAAACCTATATCGTGTAAAATCGATAAACGACCAACCGCGAGACAATCCTCGCTTCGATCTATAACGAAATGCAAAGAAGATTCGTCCTTTGCAAACATGTTATCATTGTTATATTGTGATGTTCTACTTTTGAGTTCTTCATATATTTCTTTTCTTGTTTCTTTTTTTCTTAATTTTGTTTTTTTACGAAATCATCATCACACACGTGTATACTGTCTCTTTTCCCTTTATCTCATCATTTTATATATTTATACCTCTCCTAAAAGCTTAAAAAAAGATGATACATACAAGATATTTATATAGGCGTCGCGCACTTTCTCTTAAATACAGATACCACAACTAAGTGACGTACCAATAAGTGCAAATTATAAGAAAAATTCAAAGTTTTTAAGATATTAAAATTATTTATTTATTTTTTTTTTTATAAACTTCCAAATTAAAATTTTCTTTCTTACAATTAAACAATTAGTTTCTTTCAAATTATCAAAACAATCTTTAAACAGTAACAATTTGTTAGTTTTAGCTGTCGATATTTATTATCTGTAATGGAGAGAAAATACGCAGAAGTACACATACAATGCGCACACACACATGCGCTCTCTCTTGCACACACTCTCTCTCTCTCTCTCTATTTCTCTTTATCAGTCATTCACTCATACGTATATATACATACATTATGCAGTCCATTTTATTAATATAATTTAGTTCTAAATTCCCATTATCCCCATATTTCCGTTGTTCTTTTTCGTGTTCTCGCATTTCCATTGCTTTATCTTAGTTTTTACTATTTTCAATCCTCACGCAATATAAGTTCGAACGAGAAACGTGTTCGATTTGCGTATGTTACTGAAACAATTGTAGACTTTGATTGTTTGTATTACAAAAACTACTCCCGCCGAGTCACGTCAATCCTTATTCACAAAGATATATACACAAAGAGAGTAATTATACAAATAGATGTAATCCCCTTCATAACCATAAATCTGTACATGCCAGTAACACGGAGCGTGTCAATTCTCTCTAATTAATTAACAAAAAGAGCTTATCACATTAGCATGAATCTCTCTTAGTAAGGAAGGTTAAATCAGAACCTTTATTGTAACTATAGCATCAACAGTATTTACGTTGTCGTCTCCATGTTGTCTGAGAGCCTTGTACACACACGCATCCCGGATCTCCCGTTTATGAAAGTATCAAAAATATCCTTTCTAGCACTCATCCCCCAACAGACAACGAAACTTACAATACATCAACTTGATACTAAAATCAATAAAAGGTATAACTAATTTATCTATAAAAATTAGAGCTCACCTGTTTCTACACAGGTCTTCTTGACTAAGATTCATCCAGTCTCCCCTTTTCCAAGAACAAAAAAAAGGAATAAAACCATGTAAAGATTAAAAGAAGAAAAACAAAATGATCCATACAAATATCGTCCTGCTTAAGCACTAAATTGAGTTCAAGATGTGTAAAACTAAGTAAAATTTATAAATATGGTACAATGATAGTATATATAAGCGGTAGAGCAATAATAGATTAATTATATATACGTATAGATAATAATATGTAGCATTGTATCGTTGATCCTATGGCGATTTGTTTGTCATTTAAGTCCCCTGCTTATAATAGTAGTAGACTTGAAGATTGAATAAAACATTTGTTTCTCCGTGTGTGTCCGATGAGTGAGTCTTTTCAATCAGTCGAACAAAAATCACCGCACGCACCAATCATCATTGCAGACTAGCAGCCACCTTGACTAGCTTTTTCTTTTTTTTTTTTTCTTTTTTTTTTTTAAATTTCTATCATTTCTTGCCATTTGAATCCCATCGACATAAATGTTCTCTGGGCTAGCAACTTGTTACACTGTGCTTGATCAAGTTCAGCAGGTAGGAATCAATCTCCAGGATGTTCAGGGCAGCTACGATTTACTTGAAACCACTTATCAATGCAGCTAAAAAAAAAAAAACCCACAAATATATTTGTAGTAACAATTAAGTCTGTTAAAGTTTTCTGTTCTTTGCACAGGTGAGTCTTTTACAGAAGACAAAAAATATTTATTACATTATATCATATACATACTTTTTATGATATATACAGAGACAGGGCAAGCGAGCTATAAGATCACCACATTGTAACTCCTCAAGGCAGATGACACATTCTCCCTTTCCATCAGTTAGCACATCCTCTGTCACACAAAACAATAATATGTTTAAGTACTGTTTGTGTTTGAACAATTCAATCAATTATTAAATAACAAGTCAAATTTGTTTTGTTCCAACAAGAAAACAACATAAACTAAGTCTGAGACATGAAATTTTTAATAGTAATCAACTATTAATAGAGTAGCAATCTTGACTGTAATTTGTTACTCTCTTTTCTTTCTGTCTCCTTAACTTGTAAAAAAAAAATATCAATTTTTTGTTTAGCAAGTAAATTTACTCTTGTCACAGTTCCGACTTACCATTGTAACTGAGTCGCGGCTTGGTCAGGCACATGACCAGGTGACATTCTATATCATCCGGTAGAATAAACTTGGAGCATACAGGACACTTTAGACCTTGAACACAGGCAAAGAGTCTCAGAAAAACAGATGGAAAAAATTGTGCGCATAAAAAAGTGTCAAGAACAAAGACAAAGAAATGGTAGTTGGAAGGATGGAATACCATAAAAAACCCTTCTCACTCGATCCACGGGTACTACAGCTTCGGTCTCGTGCTCGTTTAGACACGAGCTCACTATAATTCCCATAATAGACTCGACATAACCTCATCCGTCACCAGTTGTTCCGCGCGACGACGACTCTCTTCCGAAACTCATGTTTCTCGCGACAATCGGAGCGCAAGAGCTTTGTTTTTCTTTTTCACGCTATATATCTAATATAATTTTTTCGCTAATTTTGTTCAAATTTACCTAGCTCCGTTGCAGCCTCAAACTAGTCATTGATTGTGATGTGCTGTTACCGGGCCAACCACCCCGGCAACACGCGTCACAACAAACGCCCCCTGTCCCACCCGCGAATCACCAACCCTGATTCCGCGAATCTTCGCGGTTGCGCGACATAACCTTATTTTTTGCGGCGATCGCTCTTTACAATTTTAGGTTAGAAACTGTTGATTAAACTTCGCGAACTCGACGACTTTTCAAATCTTATCGTTAACCTTGTTTCACCTACAACATCTATGTATATAATAATACGATAACGGCAACACAGTTTGAAAGCTACCAAATGGTCTAATGACTATTTTCGAAATATCATCATCACACAAAGCTCCCTCTCTTTCTCTCCTCAGAAGTAGAATATAAAAGACAATTTTTTACAATGAACTGATGTGATTGTGGCACGGTACATGATGATGAACTCTATATGTTGATACTTTTACCATCTTTAAACTTATTATATTATATTGGATAAAAAATGCATGTAATAAAAACTTTCAGAAATATATATATATATATACACACATATATATACATACACATATATGTATGATCTAAGAAGATGAATAACTCCCAAGCTCAATTGATAGACAGCATATACTTAAGTACTTAAATAAGATACAAGTATCACGACGGTGTGAAACTGAACAAACGTCTGTTATACAACAAGTGTGAGACACATTGACTGAAACATAGGACCTTACCGTTAAGAGACCAAATGTGCGAAGGCAAGCTGTGAGTGGCATAAACGCGTCCGTTCTCATCGTCCGTGTCGTCGGAATCTAGCTGGGGCAAGCCAAGAGCTTGGCCAACCCCTACTCCCACGGATGTGGAGAGACCGGCCTGCTCGGCAGAAGATAGATCCGGCACGGAACTCAACGAGCGTGCACGCTGTCTACTGTCTCCGGATACACGGGAGTTCTGGGACTGATTGCCCTGTTGGTGCTGATGTTGCAGCATGCCCACTCCGCCGGGCAAGGAACGCAATACGGAAAAACCTTGCATAGTGGTCTCATTGGCCCCGGTGGAGGACTGACCATTTCCACCAGCTGATTGTGCCACAGTGCTTGCCTTGGCTCCCATCCCAGCTAAGATTTAAGGTTGTCAGCACGTGTTGTTCCTTCACACAATCTTTCTTTCTCCTTCTCTCTCCCTCTTTATCTCTTTGTCCTTCTCTCTTTCTCTCTCTCTTTCTTTCTTTCTCTCTCTCTCTCTCTCTTGCTTACTCCTTCTCGCTCTGTATTTTCTCGAGTGAATAATTAAACGATCGCTCGTTTGCTCAGTTTTATATAAGAAAAAGAGCGGGATTCGAATTTCCGGAGTACCTTTGGGTTCTGGCAGTGGTACACACACGCGCGCACACAACACACACACACACTGGCAACGATTCTCGCTTTCGTATCCTCGTTCCTTCCGCTTGAGCGTCGGCGTCGGCAGGGACAAACGAACGTACAGAGAGGCTTGGGGTACGGACACCACCCCGGCGGATGTGATGATTTTTATAACACTTTAGGATTTAAATTTAGGCCGGAATTTAGCAGATAAACGCCACGACAAGCAAGTCATTTCGTCCGCGAGCATACCAGCGGCTCGTCGCACAAAACATCCCCCGACATCTTGCAATAAACTTCCTAGATGTCAACGCGGTCGGCTCGTACACGGACGCGATCTACGGCTCCACCTCGCGACTCCGGCCGCGTTCGAAAAATGTTTGCTCCGAAGTGTACTCTCTCTCTCTCTCTCTCTCTCTCTCTTCTTCTCTCTCTCTCTTTCTCTAATTACCAATTCTCTCCGATATTTAAAACGGTCTTTAAACATCTCACAGACCCGGTCTCATCATCTCCAATCAATTTAATCGGCCAATTATTTCACTGAAATTGACCAATAGCATTGATCGCATTAGCAAAACTGACCAGTTACCAGGTTTATACTTAAACGGTCGATTGACTTCAATTCGAGATGGTGAACACGGCTTGGTGATCTTTCTTTGTATTTTTCGTGTACATACCCGAAGGGCTTTTTTACGGTCCCGTAGTTAAAAATAAACCGTCCGTCTGTATATTGTATGTAAAAATTCTTCAATTTTGCGTTCGAAAATATTTGGGAATCTCTGTCGCAAGTAACCAGAGCAGCAAGGCGTTCGGAAACGCCTTTGAAAATAAGAGATTTGTATTTTACTTTTTTTTTTTTTTACAGCGAAACGCGGATCGAGCGACGATAGTCGATATCTCGCGCTGAATGCGAAAATAACATCGTGTCTACACGTTCAAAAGATATTTAACGCAACCGATAATTATCAGATATTGTATTATCGCAACGTACGTACAAATATATTCAAAGAGAATTGTTCGAACAATTTCTCTCGCGCGAGCTGGTTTTTTTTCTTCAAGAGATGTTACTACAAAAAAATAACACGCATCTTATTAAACACCATCTATTTATATAATTTTTAATTGTGAAAATATGACAGAATTATTTAATTACACATATATTATAGGAAAAAAATTTATACATATACATAAATATTACATACACACACATACGCATGTATATATGTACATATGTACAATTTTTTTTTGTTTTTTTTTTATAAATATGATGTACAGATTTTTTTAGTCGATATAAAAATATTTAAAGACGTGTTTTTTTTTTTTTTTTTTGTAATTTTAGTATACACATACATGTATATTATATATATAGTTTTTTTTTTTATATATATAAAAGTTTTAAAATGGCGAAAAAATGGCACATGGTTGGTTAAAAGAATTAATCGTTAGTGTTTTGACATAAGTTACGTATATCAGCCTTTGAATCGGGGCTCAGAGAGCTCCAATGGGTATTCGCACACTTTTTTAATTCAACTTCCGCATTTCGAATCCCGTCGCTGGCGTCGCACATTTCCGCAATCTCGTAGTGTTCATTTACCAATCTATCTATCCAGTCGTTGAGATCTTCGTCAATTTTATTTTGATTATATGCAATCTGCTCGCTCATCATCGCGGACTTGACCAATCTCGACCAACTTTTGTTCATCTCTTCCGTAACGTGATAAACGCCACTTGGACCATCCATTATCTCCTTGGCCTTCTTCGAATCGATCTTCTTCGTCTTCCAATGGGACAACGGAGTTATCAAAAACTGTAATTTTGCCATCAGTTGAGCGTCAGCAACCAACAAGACTCGCCAGGTACCGACGGTCAACTGCTCGTTCAACTGAGGTTTAACGTGTCCTGTCTGTAAATAAGATGTATCAATAAATGTTACTCTGTGATAAAAAAAAAAACAAACTCCAATGTTCCATACGATAATTACCAGAACCGTTTCTTCGAGTATTATATGATTCACGTCGGCGAGACGACCGTACGGATCGATCCACAAAACCGATATGTTTTGCGGCACCGCGTAACCCGCGTCGAACTCATAAGCCAAGACCGGACTCGAGTACGGTCCCATGCTGCTCATCAAGTTTCTAAACATCTGCTCCTTTTGATCATAATCCGTGCTAACGGACAGACTTCGTATCTTCCCGGACGACGATCCGGTAACGGTGAAGTTGTATCGCATGGTGATCAATGCTTCAACGCGTCTCCCGTCGGAAGACAGCGCGTCGGAACCGTCTTTATTTTCCGCGAGAATCAATATGCCCGCTAGTCGATTGTCGCGAAAATACGCGGTATTTTCTAACAAGCGGACATTGTTGTGGTCAAGCTTCAATTTGCGATAAATCAATCTTGTCAAAGAATACGAAAGCGTCAGCAGTGCGTCATCCGGCAGCGGACTCAAATCCGCGTACTGATACAGACTTTGCCAGTACACGTCGTAGCTTTTCATCTTAACGGATCTATTCGTTCTGTCGGGATACAGCCATTCCTCCACAAGATCGACGATCTTGTGATCGACAACGGGCTCGAATTTGCGAGCAAAGAACACACTACGATCGGCCGTGTTTCTCAACCGATTGAAGTCCTCGAGCTTGAAGTCGTTCGGGCTACAACCGCACCAATCGACCACGGCTTTGTACTGGCACTTGCAACCAAGCTTTCTCTTCCAATTTGTTATGTGCAAATTATTATCTATATAAGTGTTGCAAAATCGTGAATTTCTCAAAACAGTGTGGAAAAATGATTCCGCAGGCAGTAATGTGTATTTGAATACTTTTAGCAATTCATTTATCAGCAGATCAGGATTCGGATTGGCGACGTATTCAACGAATTCCCGGCTTAAAGCAAACCAGTCACTGCCACCGTCAATTTGAATACCTATGGGAAAAACAAATAAATCTGACAATTATATATAAACTTTTAATTTTTCTTTTTTTTTTACATACCATCCGGTAATCTTCGATCGCCGACTCGCCACATACGCGCCTCGCATTCAACAAAAGTCTTGTCCAGGCCCTGTTTTGCTATAAAACGCTGAACTTCTCTTCCGTGTGTCTTCACAAAATTCATACCCTTGTTGTAGCTCAGAAATTCGGTCAGTTGATCGTTAGTTTTCAAGGGAAAATCGGACTCCGACAGATTAACAAGAAAATCCCAGTGCTGACGATAAGCGAGCATTTGTTGCGCGGATCTCAAGAGCGTCGTCAAGAGACTCGCGCCGCCCCAAATGCTCGCGTGTCGCAATCCCTCCCCTCTTGCCACTTTGATGTTGTTCGAAGCGCACGATCTCTCCAGTTCCAACATTTCGCGATATAAATAATCTTGCCTCTGAAAAAAATCCATACGCAATTTTAGCTTTTTTTTTTTCACGTCGCAAATATCGAATCGTCGTTAAATTATTCATTGTTTTTTTTTAATGGAAACTTTTCGAACAAATTTTACGTACCGCATCAACGTGAATGTAAAATAAGTGCGAGGGATGATACAGACTGCTGACAAGTCGCTTCACCTGTCGACTCGCTCTGCCGTTCACCGTTAGGAGATAGGCTATTCTCACGGGTTGCTCGGGTTGTTCGTTCTTCAAACTTGAGTTCTTTGCCTCTTGAGGCTTAAATCCTGTCAGATCGAACTCTTTGAATGAAAACAATTCCACGGATAAGTTTGCACACGCTTGCATATGTTTACGTACTTTGAATCCCGGTCCAATACACATTGATACTCAAATATCCGCCGCACGTTTGCTTTGGATTGCCGGAGCATTTCATATTGCAGCTAGAATCTGGCAAACGTTTCGTTTGCGTTGGTTTTTCCATGCCGCAAAAACATTCCATCCTACAAACACCACACATCTACGATGCAATCAGAGAAGACAAAACACCGCCGGACACGCTGTAATATACGTATACGTAATTTTTAGGGACACTAACGAATATTCTGTACCAGCGTATGGGAATCCTGATTGAAGACACATGTAAGCGCAACGCTCGGGGGTGTTGCTAACTTTGAAGATGTGATAATAACCGGAAAGAACTCGCAAGGTCTTATCATCTTTGAAACATCCCAAGTTAGCCGGCACGCCTGTAAAACCTGGAGAATGCGGACATAGAGACTGTATTTTTTCCGGGTACAATAAACCCTGCTGACTAAGGCACGTCACATTGACAATGCGTTGCTTGCACGTTTGACTCTGGGCGCGCGTTACGGCGCTCACTGCTTCTCTGACCGTGACTTCGCACCCAGGTGTGAAACTTAATGATTTGTGATCTAGTTTAATTCTAGCGGTGCGATTTTTCGGCGGTTGAGACAATTGTTTGTTCGGATTTCCCTGTTTGTCCGGCGGAAGTTTAACCTGACGTAAACCTCTTGGCAAACCCTCATCCTCCTCAAATTGCGAAGAACCACCCTGATTAAAATAAAACAATATGCTAAATAAATATTTGTACGTTTATTGCTTTCACTTACATCCACATAAGACTCTATAAACTCTATTACCTCTCCGGATGACAACCGGTTGGATCTGCTTCTGGCATTGTCCGGACTGAAGAACGTGTGCAGATACAGTTGTACGCAAAGTACGGTTATGCCGAAGGCGAAGATCAGCCGATACTTGCGTAAACAACTCGAGTATCGACTGCTCGGGTGATTCCTGGTGGTTGCCATGTTCCTTGAATCACGCTTACAAATTACCGGTGATTACGGGTGTGAACCCGAGGCGGACGCCGGGTCCATCGGAGCGATTTTCTTTATCAAGACGGCAGTTCCATTGATATATAATTTGCACGAGTCGGCATTCGGTCCTTTCAAAAAAATAAAATCCAATTGTGTTTCCCCCAACGATACACCCCCGCATAAATGTCACTGATTGCGAACGCACGCGAGCACGCAGTACATAGCGTGACACAGTACTCCGCACTCTCGCGATTCTCACGAAAGATTATTGAAGATACGCTGTGTCAACTTCGTTTGGGTTAGGTTAGGATTAAGGGTTATGTTAGCGCGGCTTGGGCTGGACTACACAGCCCATCGCGCAGTCAGCGACGATCGCGCACAGATAGAGGTTATGGTCGCGTCTTGAATAATGCAGTAAACAACTTAGATCACACACTTTTGGTCAATCACACTATGTGGTCATCCACCAGAAATGTCCACGGAAGCTGAGCGTTGCAAAGAGAACGCTTACGTTAGCTTCGCGGTGTTGGATTGGTGAAAAAAACAAGGTGACACACAAGGAAGCACATAGTTTAGATTGTTAGTTTGTTAAGATTCCAAATATGCAGCAACAAAAGATGGCAAATACAACGATGTTGCACAAGACGAAGGAGGAAGATGTCATCGAGTGTTTTCTGTATCCCAAGTTTTGCTACGCGTCCGATCCGGACGCGGTCACAGAGTCGAAGCTGAGCGAAGAAATTGCCAATTACAAGGACGAGATCGCCCCTTTGATCGTCGATCATATCTGGCACAGAGATAGTTTAAACTTCCGTCCCAGAACGAAGCAAGCAATGTTGTTGAACAGAATTCTTGAAGGATCAGCGGTGGAAGAAGGTTAATTTTTTTTATTCCATTACTTTATCACATATTCCATGTTTTTGTGTTATTTTTAGAGAACTCGCTAATCAATTATTTATTTGTCACCAGATTATCACACCTTGCCTCACATTTACGCAAGTTTGCATTTTGACGAGGACATAGGCGACGAATGGTTAACAGTTTTTCTCATATTTCGGCTTACCAAAGCTTTCGACGGATTGATAGCCAGAGTGGTGGACTCGGACGGGGAATTTCTTCTAATTGAAGCTGCCAACGTTTTGCCATTGTGGGCCAGTCCCGAGACATGTCAGGATCGGGTATTCATTCACAATGGTGATATCCATGTGATCAGAGAAAGAGGAACGTCTTTTCCAAATTTACTGAATAACATTAATAGCAAACCACATATCACCAAGATGTCTGAAAAGGTGCAACTTGTGTTGCAAAAGCGAATTGGTGTTTATCCGGATGAGATTGAGAAGAGGAAACACAAAGCCAGAGCGTTTCTTCCGGAAAAAGCAGCCTCCATACTTCGTTTAGAACCAAGACTTATAGCCCCGGTGATTAGAACTATTTGTCACTCGGATCCACTTGAGCGCAGGGTACGCGATGCTAAGTTTATTCATCTCTGTCTCTATTGTGTATTTATTGTATATATATATATACGTATGTATTATTGCTATTATCTATTCTCTGTTCTAGGTTTGTCGCGCTATGAGATATTTTCCCCCCGAACAACGAACCATGGTCAATGTCAAAATGACCAAGTGTTTGTATGCAATGGCAACGCATTGTCGTTACACGGGTGATCCGAGAACAGGTTGGAACATACCACCTGCAACTTGCTCAAAATACAATGCTCATGTACTTGGCGTTAAAATAGCATGTGGTTTAGAGATGCTAGTAGCTCGGGCCAATGAGGAACGTAGGAAACGTACCAAAGAACAATTGGACGTTCCGGATGATGAGAAATTAAAGCTGAACGAACCGGCATTCAACGCTTACCTAGCTCGTTTAGAGGCGAATGGTTACTTTAGAGATCTGTTGGAAGGTAGCCAGGAACGTAATAAACTGTTGTCCACGGCCAAAGAGTATTTCTTGAAGCATGCGACTTTATTTGATAATGTAACGAAGTTGTACGAAAACGATGCTCAAAAAGTTTTAGAAGCATGGGAAAACATTCAAACGAACGATATTGAAATGCATGGTAATTTGTTTATAATATTTTTGAATTTACGTGTTGTTTTTATTACATCAAGTCTTTTCAAACTTATTGTACAAATAATACGAGTTTAGCTGTTGTTCGCCATTATGTCATCGTAGCTGTGATTGTAATTTATTTATGTATTTTCCTACGCACACGCGCGCACAAACAGCTCAAGACGAGACTACGTTGAGTCCTGCGGATAGCGACAGTTGGTTAAATGTGGATCCAGCCCAATTAGAAATGTACTTAAATCAACAATACGGTAAGGATACCAAGGATAGAAGATTGGATCAAGAATCCCTGAGTCTCAGAGAGAAAGTGCAATCATTCCTCAATCAGACCAGTGACGTTGACGGCGTGCATTTCTTAGGGTAAGAATATCTATCTTTCTTTTGTACGCGCAAAAGAACATTTTCAAAAAAAAAAATGTCGATTTCTAATCTATATGCAAATCAATAAAAAGTGATCCTCTCACTAATGCTCATTATATATTTTTTAGGGAACAATCAACTGACAACGACATGCCAGATGCGGAAGATGGTGGGCGAATAGACTTCGACGCGGATGTGTTTGACAGTACTCTGAGAGGTATCCTCGATTTAGTTGTCCCGGGAGGAGACGGTGAATTTGAAGGTAGCTCGGAGGGATCGTTAGGCGGCGACGATGAAGATAAAGGCGGCGATATGGACAAATACATGCGACTGTTGGATTCGCAGTTGCAATCGCAATTGGTAAAAGACGAAACCTCGACCGTGAACAATGACAGCGGCAGCGTGGCGGATCCCGTGGAGACGAGTTTGCGGGAAAGTATAGAGGCCGAGGCTGGCGGTTCAGGCCCGGCCGGAAACATAATCGGCGGTCCGGTCCGGAGACTCATGCATTTGCAATTGCAATCGCCTACGACAGTACCCCCCGACTTGCAAAGTTAATGATATCTTCTCGTGTCACAAAAAAAAACAACATAGTCGATTCACGTTAACAATCGTAAAACATTATTGCAATACCTCTTCGCTTCATTCTTGCAAACTACAGTAAAAAGCATTCGCCATCTCACGCAACAACAAAGAAAACACTGATATATATATAAAATCTTGTTACTATCGAGAAAAAAATATTACGTTTATTACTTAAAAATATATATATATATACTCAATGTTACGAAAATTTAAAGCACCTTTATCACACACAGTTAATATCATCGATACATATTTCACGATCGTACTTTCATCACACTCGGCTATATCGTTGTTTTTCATATGAAACGTACACTTACAAGTGTGTGTATAAACACATACATACACTTTTATATATATATTATAAAAATACACATAAGATGTTAATAACGTGTGTGTGTGTGTGTGCGTGTGTGTTTGCGCGCGCGCGCGTGCGCGGCCATAGAGATTAGACCGTAAGAACTTTTACTATTTGTATATGTAGCATTTTGTGTTTTTATTTTTATAACTAATTTAGTAAGCATATCGGATTTTTACGTGTAAAGCTTTGTATATTTCAATTTAATAATGAGAAACACCGTCGGACATCGTTGTGTACAGATTTGTATATTTTAAACTTGTTAAGTACACAACTAACGTGATGACACCATGCATGTTCACATCTGAATATGTCTCGGGGATGTCTTCGAGAAATATGCAGATCTGCACAAAAATCCTGTATATATTAGAACATTATTTATACATTACATTTTTTGAAGGGTTATCACTTCTCGCTGCTATTAACAAAAAAAAAAAATATTATTTGAATGTCTGTTTGAACCATTTTGGTGTCTTGTTTTGATTCTGAGATAATGATTTGCTACAACCACTTGGGCCTGGATTGTTGTGATCGTTTTTGTCCTCAACAACTGTGCCTCTATCATCTTCGGCTGTTGGATTTTGTTTTCTACGCGTAGTGGTTCTAGACAAATATATCATACAATTTAGTGACAATCTATATTGAGTTATATTGAGACGCCTAACGCAGCTTTTACCTAGATTTTATAGCTTCGATATCAGCAGCTCTTGGATCTGTCAATTTCTCTTTCACACTTGACTTAAGTGACGATTGTCCTGAATAATAAACAATTGCAGAGGGAACAAGATTTTCATCCAGTAGTCGCGCGTCAGGGTTCAAAATATGCTTTGGCGGGGTAGTGTCTACAAAATGATGAAATTTTATCTAACTAAAATATATATATATATATTCGCTTTTTTTTCTTAGAGATAACACGACATCGCACAGGTACTTACAAATAGAGAATTCACATTCCGGATTGTCTAAATGATTTTTAACGAAGTCTTTAACATGTTGAACAGTTTCTACCAGTCCAAATACACCCTGAAGAACAAATTGATCAGGAAACTGTATACGAATTACGGTGTTTCGATATTTGTTTAACATATCCAGAGTGTGTTTGTCTCGATCCAGCTGACGCTGTGTCTCCGTCAGAAGGGGAGCGTCCTCTAGCTCTTCTCTACGACGTTTTGCATCGCGTAGGAGAGTCTTTGCATCGTGCAGATCGAGAACGAAGAAGCTATCTGGCAGTTCGTCCCTCGGCAATGCTTGAGCCTCGGCTTGATTGAACACAAGACCATTTCTTTCACTCAACTGTGTAACAAAAAAAAATCATTGATAAGCAAAAAAAAGACATTTGTATAAGTATATGCATGTCTGCACAATTACATCTTACAAACTTAATTTCATATGCATCTTCTTGGATTTTTGCGCATGCCTCTGTGACATTCTGGTCTCTGTCATGATTATTGTGACTTTTTGCAACAGACTGATTCGTTTCTCTTGTACATACATCCATCTCTCGATCTTTATCGTCGGTCGTATTTATACTTTCATCTTTCCTGTCTAATTTTTTCTCACTTTCTAAACTTCTCTGATTTTTCACACTTGATATTCTTTCCGTTGATGAGGTAGCATCATTATCTTCTTTGCTACAATGCGGCATGGACACTTTCTGATTTTCTTTCTCATTTTGCGAGCTATCTAATGCAACAACTGGTTTTGGAACCAAAGGTGTGGATATGTGTGCCTGAGTTTTCAATTGCTCCGGATCACGATATATTAACCGTAGTATAGCTCTTCCACCGCTGAGACCTAATGATTTCAATGTTGTTCTTTCCAGTGTTTCCTCTCCATATACCTATGAAAATCGTATAAAAGTAGTACACAGGTTCTTCTTTTTCATAGCAAAACAACAATATGAACTTATTAATACATGTAAAATTCTCTCTATGTAATATTAACAGTCTCATGTGTGTATATATATTACATATATTTGAATATGTATATAAATATATATACACACATACTTCACGATGCATGTAGATCAACACAGCTCTCTTCAGATCGGAATCGGGATATAGTTTTCTCAATATCTGAGCCAATGTCGTGGTAGGAGGAAACTCACACATTACTCTCTCACCGTTCTCTGGCTGAATGCTAATTGTAACGTTAGACAAAGAACGTGTTTTTGTGCAAGCTACCATTTCTAGTTGAGCATTATTCGGCAAACCGGTGAAGCGAAATATTGTATTAGGATCCAATATCTGACGACCGTGTCTGTAACAGAGGAATGTAACACATAAATTTGGTACATATGAAAATTACACATGATTATTATACAAGTACAAAGTCTACACTCTTTCTTATTAATCCCACTCACTTTAAGTCGTAATCGTCAACATTGAAACCTTGTTTTTGGCACACCTCCTCCAAAACCTGAAAAAAACGACGAAATTTTTATCCAAAAATCTGGAAGACAAATTTACTTTTTGCGCGGAGTGCGCGTGACGTCGGCATTATTTTTGCTCGATCGACGTTCGAGTAAACGATTGTTGTTTGCCTAAATAAAATTAAAAAAAAAAGTACATATAAATTTATTGATTACGTTTGATTTGTTTTACCTGCAGAATCGTCGTGTTTATTGTAACTTTCACAGTCTGCCGACGACCGTTCGGCGCGAGCACAATGACACTTTTATTTGCCGCCATGGTGTGCGACTGACTGTCAGTGACCGCCGAAAACTTCAATACAGTCCCGAGCAAAATTGTTTGTTCTCGCCCGCAAAGTCAGCTGTTTAAAAGGAACTTCGATTTACGCTGCTGTTGTATGCGCTTTATCAAAACCGCTATGTGGATGTAAAAAAAAAAAGTATCCGTATCTGTGTGTCGATTGGTGTGTTAAAAAAAATATATGCAAAAGATTTGACACCGACTAATTCCGCTTAGAAAATACGAACAGAATCAATTCTCTCGGCGATCGACGATACCTGATGATACAAATCATCGTAACGTACCGTACCACGTTGGCAAGACTGACACAGAAGTGTCAAACAAACACAACAAGAGCTATTGTGGCCGGCCTGCGCGCGACGCGACGAACGCAGCAGACAGAAAAGCCATTTGCGCCGCGTGCGTGCGAAAAAAAACAGCGGTAAATCTGACAGATCTCAGTCGCGATCGCGAATGTAATCAACAACGCAACCAAGTGGCAGCGTGCGCCAAAAAAACAAGATGTCCAGGAAGTGGCGTTGTTTGTTTGTCATCGACGATCGCTTGTGCACGACGTGACAGACTCTATTTCTCTCTCTTTCTCTTTCTCTCTCTCTCTCTCTCTCTTTCGACTTGTTAAAAACCATTCGTGGTTACTGTTTGTAAACGCAAACCGAAAACTTTTGAAAATGAAAATAGACGAATTCCGGCGCGATGGTCATGTCCTTTAACCGGTATCTACCGGTGATTCTACCGGAGGAGAGCGAGCTCGGCGATGGTGTCGCTGCGACCGTGAGCGAGATCGAGACGACGTCCGACACGACCAAGCAACGCGTTTCCTACAACACGGATGAGACCGTCACGAGGAATTGTTCGTCGACCACGCAGTGCGGCAGCATCCCGACAACGGCATCCGTGACGACGTCGGCGGTTACGGTGCCGCTCTGCGTTCTCGGCGAGGTGCAGCTAAGATTTCTCTGTCCGGATGACCTCGAGGAAGTGCGCTCGCTCTGTCAAGACTGGTTTCCGATAGGTAAGCGTCTGTGTCTGAGTATTCAAACAAGACATGCTGTACTTGTACCGCATGTTTATATATATATATATAAATATAAAATAATATATTATTACTTCTTTATATTCTTTATATTCAGAAAATCAATTTTCAGATTTTTAGACCAACGAGATTGTGTATAGAAAGATCTCTTAGATAGCGATTCACACCTAGAAAGATAAAAATGTTTACTTTTATTTATTAGAGAGATAAAACTTGTCGTTCTCAAGAGAATCTCATTAATTCTGTTTTTTATTGGCTTTTTTTTTTTGTCATTAATTGCACATGAAAAATGAAGATAGGAATATAAAGATTCTTTGAAAAGTTTGATAAGTAATAATATAAAATCTCTTTCCGGTGTTACATATGTTATAAGAAATAAATAGCAAATTTATATTGAAAAAATTTTATTTTCATACGTACTAATAAAACTAACGACTTGATTTGTTTTCCCAGATTATCCTTATTCGTGGTACGAAGACATCACAAGCTCCTCAAGATTCTATGCACTTGCAGCGGTATATGGTGGAGTGATAATAGGACTGATAGTCGCAGAAATAAAGCCATACGCCATGCTGAACAAGGAGGATCACGATATATTGTGTTCCAGTTTGGGAGAGAATTGTCTTGTGGGTTACATACTTAGTTTAGGCGTACGTCGTGCGTACAGAAGAAATGGAATAGCGTCGTTGCTGTTGGAACAATTGCTGGCTCACGTAACCGCTCCCGAACGTTCTTCTGTGAAGGCGGTCTTCCTACACGTGCTCTCAAGCAACGCTCCTGCTATATTATTTTATCAGAGATGTCACTTTCGGTTACACAGTTTTCTTCCATATTATTATTCGATTCGCGGAAAGTGTAAAGACGGATTCACATATGTTCTTTATGTTAATGGCGGTCACGCTCCCTGGGGCATCTGGGACTGGGTACGTCATTTAGCCGGTGCAATGATCAATCTTGTACCGTGTAGAGTACCACGCTGGATCTGGCAACGTCTTCTATGGGCAACCACTATTCTTTCTTATCATAGATGATATATTTTGTGAATTGTTATGTTTATTGTGTATTTATTTATCTCTTTGAATTGTCTAGAAATATTTATACATATAATAAGAAAAGTGCCATAAATCAGTTAACTTTACAGATTCAAATATAGCTACGGGTTCTATACGCTTTTATTAACACGTTGACTGCCATGCAAAATTTATCGATTGCCTTATATATATCTGCGAATAATTGTTATTTTTTATTGTTGAATCAAATAAATCGGTATTCTGTTGAACCGCAAATTTTATCTCTTTTTTTCGTTTTTTATAAATTTATACACAGTGTTTCTGGTAAAAGAGAAGATCGTCTCGTTTAAGCGATAGTCGCAATAATTGCGAGAAAGAGATTTATTATTAACTAAAAATCACATGCTGCTTCCCATTATTGAGCACACAGTATATAGTATAAGATTTGTTCGCCGACTCGCACGTGTATAACGCTACGTAGCTACAAACCAAAATGTAAGATAAATCTACGCATGCTCGCTCATCACAAATTCAGAAACATTGATTTGTATCAAGGATTTATAATGTAAACGGTTATTCTTTTTTTTAACATAAAAGAAACAATTAACCTCGGATTACTTTAGCGCGATTTTTTATTTTATTTATATATATATATATTAGTAGTCATCAAAAACACAAAAATCGTTCCTACACCAATAATGTAATCTAATAGCATTCGAAATGTATAATAACTGCCAAAAAAACGATTACATTTTGATTTTTGCGTGTTGATATATTTTTTGCGCATTGTTCCTAAAAGTATATAGATTTACAAATTACTTGGTTACTTTATAAGTACAAAAAAGAAGCTTTGTGAGAGAAATAATTTTGCTTAAATGCAACATTTTGTATATTGCATGCAACAAGTAAGAACGATATTACATTGCTAACGTTTTTATGTTTCGCCGATAAGAAGCTTTAATTTTTTGTTTTACACTTGTTGAAATAGTCACTTTTACTATGTAATAGAAACTGAAATTGATACTGTGTGCGACATTTAAATATATGTATGAACGTGTGTGCACACACAAATACGTACGTACATATGGATACGTATAAAATGATGTACCGAAAAAAAAAAAAAAAAAAAAATAGTTGTGTATATATTAATGTAATGAGGTTGTTTATAATAAATTAAATGTTATAATTTACGTACATTTTTGTGTTTTTGTGAATGCATATATATTTCCACTTTATAATGTATACATATAAAAAATATACGTCTCTAATTCTTGACAGCGCGTTTTTTCGCAAAATTAATTCTAAAAAGGTTCTTGTTTTATAAGATACATGTAATTACATAAGATACATATTCTCTGAGACATAAATGCACACAATTATATCAACACGCTTGAATAATTGTACATTTATTTACAAAAAATATGTACACAGTAATGTATAATGATAAACAACAAAATTTAATATTCAGTCTTTTTTTTAAACTACATGCACAACTGAAATATGTATATAACATTTTTTTTTTTTTTTTTACATTTTTTAACATTGCTCGACTAGTGTAAGATATTTATTATATAGCTAAATCTAAATATCTATATCATACATTATATAGATATTTTTTTCACAATACAAATTATGCTAAATCAGTAAAAACTGAATTACAGTTGAACCTCTTTATTTTTGCCGAGTCAAGCTTTCTCTCTATGCTATCTGTTGTTGCTATCCTCCTTCAATCAGTTAGCTATAGCTAACAATCAGATTTTAGAAAACAATTTTGTCAAACGTACAGAGAGAGAGAGAGCAAAAATATAAAAGACAAGAATAGAAAGGTATAACTGTATTAGTTAAAAAATCACATTAAAAAGAAAAACCTTAAGTCATAAGTAAATTAGAGACAATATATATGCTGGCTATATTAAATTTACTTATGTTTCATGACTACTAAGTAAAATTACTTTAATAAATTGGACTATAATGATGTGAGTATGAATATAAAATGTAATCAAATTTTAAGCAATTTTTCCCAATTTTTTCAATTGTTTCAACTTTTCTTTTTTTTCATCTTCTTTTTTCATACTGTCTGCTATTTTTTTCAATGAAATCTGAATCATAGTGGTAAGTCTTTCCATATTGACTTCCTCATTATTACAGGGCCATTGCCAAACAATACGTTCTCTGAATCCTTGTTCAAAACTTGCTTCGGCTTTGGCTGGTCTATTAATGTCTCCATTTTTAACTTCATAATCTCCATGTCCATTAGTGTAATTATGAATGAAGAAACACTTTGTTCTGTAACTACGAAAGCGTCCATAAGGAAGAACAATGCTTTTCATGAAAAGTACGCTATTAAACGGAATATATGAATGTCCTTTGTCGTCTTCGTTTTCGCGTTCAGAATAGCTTCTGAAAAACTCGAACGCCGGATTTCTCATATATTGTGGTGAAATTTGCAATCTGTTATTTATATCACCGCCTACTAAAAATCTATCCCTCGCTCGCACGCAAACATAATCATTCGGGATCGGCTTCCTTATCGCCTCACAAAATTTCTTTGTAAGTCTGTATCTATTCGAAATATATAGTTTGCTTACATTTTCCCCGCCAAGCATGTAAGCATCCAGGATATGCAAAGCTCGTGTTTTGACAAAAGATTTTCCCATACGTTTTGACTCATATACCAACTCCGCATATACTAGAGTATTTTCGGGAAGTTCTAATTTTACGTCACCAACAGAATGCCACTGGCCTCTCACGTAACGAAAAACTTTTCTCTTTCCCAAACCCAGATATAATGTTGCTATTTTATCCTCTTCGATAAAAGGCCCGGAAGTGCATGGCATGCAGTACCAGTCATATGGTGAATTTATAATACTCTTAAAACTCTCGACATTTGTTGCTTTTTTTGCTTCGGATCCGAGAAAATCCAAACGAGTGTTCATCATCATCTCGTTTATCTTATCTTGCGGTCTAACCATTTGCGGCCTAACACGAGTTTTACTTGATATTTCCCAATATTCTAAACATTCTTTTCGCATATCTCCCTGCTTCGGTTCGGTTAATTTCGGATTTTCGCAGAAAGCCGCAATTTTCAAGAGTCCTATTATCTGTTTCCTTCCCAAAGTGTTGTTTGAATTTCTTAAATACTCAATGAACGCCTTATCCCCTTCCAAAACATCGAGAGCCACTATTTGCGTTACATCGTTAAGACCATCTCCCGTCGAAAGCAACCGATTAATATGCATCAGGTACTCAATTACTGCCCCCGTATTCTCTCTCTTGTTTTTACATATTAAATAACGTTCTGAATTAGCCGGTCTGGAACTATTAGGTTTAAAAATGCAAATACTATTGAAGCATCTGTACATCAGATAGACAAGGCCGGCACTAAAGGGCGTGAACAAGTCGAAGAGTTTTGTCACAAAATGTCCACCTTTTCTAACTACCATCAATGCCACCAGACATTGACATAAATATAGTTGTTTAGACAAAATCTCTTGTATATTTTCTTGACCCTCAACAGAAAACCCTCCATCTGCCATCATAAAATGAACTCCCTTATTTTGTGTATGTTTCATTATCAAGTTTCTAAATCCTTCTTGATTTTCTAACTCATACACATCTCCATTATCCAAAGGTCCGTAATAAGGGTGAAACGTTTCGCTAGGTCCAGCAAAGAACTCGTCCAAAGTGAAATCATTTTTTTCTTTCAAAGTAAATCCAAATCCCTTTGCATGCCACTTTGTCCTTGATAATACGTATTCGCTAAATCCACCCGGACCAGCGCATACATCGGCAAAGTACAACAATTCATGAGGATTTTGATTAGGAACTTTAGGTCTGGTAAACATAAAATCGCACGCTTTGTCTATGTTTGCCATTTTGACAGCAGCCCGATTCAGAAAACCGGCACTTCGAATTGTTTCATAAGGATTTGAACGAGTTCTTGCTTTTCGCATTTCATTTTTGTCTAACTTATCAAATATCGTTTTCGATTTAAGTATTTGCTCTAAAATCTCGGGATTGCAGAAATGAACTTCGCCTTCTATAGTGTCTTTTTTCGGCGCAAACATTACCCAATCTGAGTCTATTTCATAACTATCGGGTTCCGTCTGGACAGATCGCAACCAGTCCATATCTTCTTCAACTTTAATAACCTCTTTTTGAGGATCCCACAAGAGACATGCCTTCTCAAGTTCTGGTACATGATGTCCAAATCCTCTTCTACCACGCTGAGTTGCTGCCGCTATAGGTTCAACAAGTCCTTGACCGTGCTTTCCTAGACCTTTTCCTCGCTGATATCCCATTTTCTCCATTATTTGCAGAGCTATACCCAAATCTGCCGAAATCAAGTTGTTTTGGGCTTCGGCATATACATTGCCCGCAGGCTGAATTTCCTGGGCGTGCTTTTCTTTATCAACATCATGGTGAGTAATTTCCTCCTTATTACTCAATCTACTTCTTTTGACATTGTCTAATAAATTACAAAAAATGTATTATATTAGACACTAAGTAAAAATAAAAAATCTAAATGTAAATAACAGAACAGTAATTATATAAAATGTAAAATCACACAATACCTGTATTTTCCAATTTAGGAAGATTTACTTCATTCATTTTATCATATTGCGGATCGTTGTCATCTTCAGAAGAGGACTCTTCCAGTCTCCTCTTGCCATTTAAAAAATTATAATAGTCGTCGTTATTGAACGCAGGCATTATGGCGTTTGACTCCTCAGGGAAACAAAAGTCCTTGCCAAATTTACTTGATTTGCGATGCTGAGAGTAACTATTGAATGAATCTGGTGTCTTCAATCTCCCTTCCTCACTGCTCAAAGCACTATCCTCATCAGTACCTACAAAAAGTTAAATTACCATAAAAATTATAATTTACTTTAATCTTTAGATTATTTAAGCAGCAAACATCCAAACAAGCGCCAGATTATCTTGACTAAGAACAAAAGTTTAGTTGTACGTTTGAAAAGCTTTACAAGAGAAATAATTTTATTAATATACCACGATGAACTACAAAATATAATCTGGCATTTGTTGTGGAGTGAGGAATTAAACACGTAATGAAGAAAAGAGATAAGACATATATAAAAACAGACAAGAGAAACTCACTACTGTCCATAATGTCTTAAAGTCTGTTAGAAAAATGTAAAGAAATCTTCTAACCTAATCGGCACATTGCTGAAAATTCAAAAAGGTTGATTGGCATAAAATGAGAGAATCAGAAAAGACAATAAATAAAAACTAAACAACAGTGGGTTTTCTTACAGATTATATTGAAACCGTATTTAAGCGTGTAATCCAAGTGTCTCAAAAAGTTAAAACAAATAAATTGTCTCTTAGAAAACTTGTACCAGCCATTCATTATTATTGAGAATAAAACCACCCGAACCATAATATAGACAAAAAGGTTATCAACGAGGGACTCAAACTGACACAAGGCATTTTCTGTTATTACTGACAGTACTGGGCAGTACTGAATATAAGATATTAAATACACATTTATTATTCTCCACACGTCAAATTATCATATACTGGATATTTCGACTGTTTTTCAGCAATGTGCGTACATAACATAGACGGAACAGTGTAACATTGTTCAAGGCTGTTGCTCAACAACTCCATTTAGATTAAACATTTGTGCGATTCTCCAATCAGAATAAAAGTGCAGAGTTCAACTGTTCATTAGTGGCTCTAAGGCCTGGTTTATGCGGGCAATAACTGTTAACTTATGCCGGAACCGGTAGAGTTTAACTATAGGATTCCAATACTTCTGTTTATACGCATTCGGCAATTTTGTATAAACAGAAGTATTAAAATCATATAGTTAAACTTTACCGGTTCCGGCATAAGTTAACAGTTATTGCTCGCATAAACCAGGCCTAAGTGTAGAAACCAGTCATATTGAAGAATCACTAAGCGTTCACTGATCTGCTCAGGGTGCGTTCACTTTGGACGCTTACGCGCTTTAAGCGTCAGTCTGTCTTTATTGTTGTTTAAATATAGAACAAAGATAGACTGACGCTCAAAGCGCGTAAGCGCCCAAAGTGAATGCATCCTCAGTCTGCTGAACGTGGCCAATGCTCTTCGAATGATGCTTGGAAGCATTTGGATGCTATTCTAGATTTAACTTTTGCCGCGTTTCATGCACTAGAGCTTACTTAGGCTGCGTTCGGGAAGCGCGCTATCAGCGCTGTTGCATCATTCTATCTTTATTGCTCGTTAGATGTAAAAGAAAGATAGAATAACGCAATAGCGCTGATAACATGCACCCCGAACGCAGCCTTAGTCATGGCAAATTGCTACGAATATATAGGCCTAGTTTATACATTTTTAAAATCATGCAGGTTTTGCCTGTGCTTAACCATTCTTACTTAAGTAATCACTCCTTCCTGGAGAGTGATTACCCAGCAAACACAAAGTAACAACCGGCAACGTTTCTTATACGTTTCGACCGAAAACGTACCGCAACTTAAAAAGCGGACGTTTTTTTTTTTTCCGCTAAGTTTATATATATAAATAGATTGTGAAATTCTTTAGTGGTCACTGTGTCTATACTGAACATGGTACTAAACCATGTCTTCTACCCGGTAAAAAATTTTCCATGTATAAAATTGTACGGACATATTCGGCATATAAATTTGCATAATAAGATATAATTATTTTAATTTGTGTACATGAAAAAATTTTTACCGTGTAAGTGCGTATCAGATTATAAAAGAATCAACCAGAATAAAATTCATTAGATCTTTTTGTTCTGACTGATTATATATAATCTCAATACTGGACGTGTCTTGAAAAAACATTTTACACACATCTCTCTGAGTAGCCAAATCTACATGTAGATTAATTTTGTACGTTTTTAAACCATGCATGGTTTAAAAACGTACAAAACATCCAATATTAACATTCAAAGATGTTTTTTTGGATTTTTCTTATTTTTATACCGACATTTCGTGAACATTTCAGCTCACTTTATCAGGGTTTCGAGAGCAGCCTAATATTCAATGTTTTTAAAAATTATTTGCCGTTACACAAAATAACATATAAACATGTAAAAGGTAAAAACAATAGTGTAAAATAATCAAAGTCTTCACTGTCGACTTCGAAACATTTTACTTTCAATGAGCAAAAAAAAAAAAAAACAAAATAACAATAGAAAAAGCAAGTATCATAATTTATTATATTTTTGTGCGTATACAAATATAAGTTAGTGTTAAAACTTAAAATAAAACATCAAAAATTAGAATTATAATTCTAACAAAATAAAGATGTGAAAAATCTTATTAAAAAAAAAAAAAAAAACAAAATGACAGTAGAAAAAGCATGTATCTTGATTTATTATATTTTATTTTTTAGCAACAGGTATGTGGTATGGAAGGCATGGAAGGATGTGTGAGATTCTTCCTAGTCATATAGGCTGAAATGTCTAAATAAGTAAATTATTATATTTTATTTATTATATTTTTGTGTTATAAGTTACTGTTAAAAACTAAAATAAAACATAAAAAATTAGAATTATATTCAATGTTTTTAAAAATTATTTGCCGTTACACAAAATAACACATAAACATGTAAAAGGTAAAAACAATTGTGTAAAATAATCAAAGTCTTCACTGTCGACTTCACTGTCAAGTCTTCACTGTCGAAACATTTTACTTTCAATGAGTAAAAACAAAAAAAACAAAATGACAGTAGAAAAAGAGCATGTATCATGATTTATTATATTTTATTTATTAGCAACAGGTATGTGGTATGGAAGGCATGGAAGGATGTGTGAGATTCTTCTTAGTCATATAGGCTGAAGTGTCTGAATAAGTAAATTATTATATTTTATTTATTATATTTTTGTGTTATAAGTTACTGTTAAAAACTAAAATAAAAAAACAAAAATTCGAATTATAATTCTAACACAATAAAGATGTAAATGTTATATGATAAAAATCTTATATGATAAAAATCTTATGCAAACATATTAATTTGTAAAGATTTGATAAAAATAAAAGCTTCCAATAAATTTATCATGATCTTGATTACTAGATAAAATTCAAAATCGATAGAGAACATGCAATCAAATTTGATGTATAAACAAAACTTTTATTATTTAGATAAAAGCGCAAATAAATGTTCTGCAATGTATACACAGAAACAGTTTCTACTTTAGGAAAAGAATTACATTTACAATTTGTAAACCAACTATACTTTATATATTTTGATTATACATCATAACTTCACCTTATTGTTGCTAAATTTATAACATCCATTTTTTTACCATGCTTTGTTCATGTAGAATAGTAAAGAAATGAGTAGTATAAATAGTAAAAAAACTGAAACCTTAAAGATTTTCACACGTAAAAGATTTATTTTTACTACACACCTTTCTTGGTAGGATGACAATTTTTCTTTTGTGGCCCCTTGTGGAATTTGGCGGTACAAATATGGTGCAAATATCTGTAAACAATAAAAAAGCTATCAAATATAAAGACCGTAAATTATTGCAAACATTAGGCGATTTTTGGCGATCGTATGGTACATATACCAAAGTGTACCATACGATCGCCAAAAATCGCCTATTGTTGCTGATAAGGTAAACTTATCGGCACTAATGTTTTCTTTCAGTTTTGTATTATTTTCCATTGTTTTACTATTATTAAGCAAGAATCTATGCTCTTTCGCAATATCTAATATTATTTTTGAGGTTAGATACTATCTTGTTCTCACGAAATTAAATAAATACCAAAAATATATTTATTATTCGTACTTTTATATAGTAATATTAATTACTAACTACAAAAATAACACTAAATTAAATCAACTGAATGTAAACTTCTATCAAATATCTTCACAAATATCTGCACAGTTCTAACGACTATCCACTCCTTCAAACTGTATTGAGAAAGAAAATGGCTGCGGTGGCACCGTAACAATGGCGAATGGTATAGCGTGTGTTAAAATGGCAAGATACGCCTACCTACCTTGAAGTAATTCCTCGTTGACGGTTTTTTCTTCTCGATTCCGCGAGCGGAAAGATATCGAGAGATTGTCTCAAGAATTGCCGGCTGTTATCCCTGAGTAGCTCGACCGCCTCAAAGTCACAATTATCAAAGCCGTGGCAAAGCACTTCTAGAAATTGAGAATTACGTAATGAGAATGACTCAACACGTGAAAGAAAATTCGAGAAGTAAAATGGTGCATTAGCGACAAGCTACTGTACAAATACGGAAAAAAAAAAAATAGGATATGTAATCTTCACAAATCCCGAAATTGAAAGTAAAAATAATTCTACATATTGACTAAAATTCTCACAATAATCATATTTTCTTTCACATAATTTGTATATTTCTTACTATTCTATTTCTATTAAACGAACATCTGGCGGTAGACAAAGACCAAACCACGTGGAATATTGGAAATAATTTCACTTCTAGAAATTGAGAATGACGTAATGAGGATTACGTAACAAGAATGACTCACCACGTGAAAGAAAATTCGAGAAGTAAAATGGCGCATTAGCGACAAGCTACTGTACAAATACGAAAAAAAAAAAAAAAAATAGGATATGTAATTTTCACAAATCCCGAAATTGAAAGTAAAAATAATTCTACACATTGACTAAAATTCTCACAATAATCATATTTTCTTTCACATAATTTGTATATTTCTTACTATTCTATTTCTATTAAACGAACATCTGGCGTTAGACAAAGAAAAAAGCACGTGGAATATTGGAAATAATTTCAAATCCGGGTGAAATAATTCTAAATGTCGCGGCTTAAATTCTCAATAATAATAATAAAATTTTCTTTCACATATTTCCAGTATTTTTTACTATTTCTATTTCTATTCAACGAAAATCTGTATAATTGTTCACTCCATATCTAAAGCACAATCGTTTCCAAGATGAGAAAATTCTACTTTTACAACAAATAAATAGCGAATATATATTTATCATTTATATTAATTACGCGACTTTTGTATCTTATAAACTTACTTCAACAATAGTATGCTGAATAATTGTTGATTATATTAAACTTGTGGTAAAAGCTTCCAAGATATGTATCACTCACTCTTTGGAATGCAACGACTGAATGAAAAACTGGCTTCTTCTCTTCGCTATTCTCAAACAGCATAGATGCCATGTAACTTTCTATTGGCTGTTAAGAAACAATGCGCAAGGGCACACCTTGGGTGCGTTCACCTTGAATGCTTAAGCCTGATTTACGGGGCCTAACAAGGAGAGTGTAATCATGACCACCCTGTAGGTCACCGATTTTGATGCAATTTTGCAGAATGGTAGTACGCATATAGAAATAACAAATGCTATTCGGAGACGATGCAACTCTCAAGCATTTGCGAGAAATCGCAGTTTGAACTTTCGCGTGCTACGTAAGTACAATTCGAAAAGAAAGTTTTTCGAGGTGGCGGCGTGGCGCAAGCGGACTAAGCGCCGCGCTAGTAGTCCGCGGATCGCATGTTCCAAAAATATGCAGTTGCATGTTGCAAAAATATATTTTTCTGCATATTATTAAATATTTTCAATATAATATTATATACAAGGTGTTCCAGAATTGCCGTACAATCGCTCATAGGCAGGTAAAAGGAGTAAAACTGAGTCGAAAAGTCCTGAACCATTTTTGTCTATTATTTATAATAAAGGAGTAATTATTGAGTAAATCAGGCCAATCAGCGCAGATCTTTAGCCAGGCACACGTCAATGAGCGCTCACACACACCAGGCGCGCGGCTCACTAACAAAAGAGTTCGCAACATCTATCTATCTTTGTCGACTAAGAAGGTATATATGTGTATGTAAAGGTATATATGTGGAGGTATATATATGTGTAAGGATTGAGGAGGCGTTAACGCTTGCAGGGCTGCATTCGAAAATATTACTCAAGTGTACCCGCAAAAGCCCGTTTTCAACAAACATTCGAGGTGTACCAAGGAACCAAGGTGAAATGTGATGATGTTGTTCAGAAATATCATTTACAGCCAATTTTTTCACTTCTAGATAAGTTTTCGATAACTTTATCTAGAAGATATCTCCCAAAATTTGGTTCTTTTTATTGGTTCTCAGAGGAATTTATCCAGAGAATAGCTATCGAGAGGTATGAAGAAATCGGCCGTTAGATATACAGGGTGTCCCAGAATAGCCGTACAATCTCTCGTAGGCAGATAGAAGGAATAAAACTGAGTCGAAAAGTCCTGAACCATTTTTTTCTATTATTTATAATAAAGGAGTAATTATTGAGTAAAGCNGGCCAATCAGCGCAGACCTTTAGCCACGCGCACGTCAGTGAGCCGCGCGCCTGGTGTTTGTGAGNGCTCACTGACGTGCGCCTGGCTAAAGATCGGCGCTGATTGGCCTGATTTACTCAATAATTACTCCTTTATTATAAATAATAGATAAAAATGGTTCAGGACTTTTTGACTCAGTTTTATTCCTTCTATCTGCCTACGAGAGATTGTACGGCTATTCTGGGACACCCTGTATATCTTACAAGAGCTGCGATCCGTTTCATGCTTAATCGCGCATTTATCTGTAGTATATGTCACGTATACTATAGATAAATGTGCGCTTAAGCATGAAACGGACCGCAGCCAAGGGGACTTTACTTTTGACTTCCGCGTTTTCGCGCTTCATGTAATGGCACCCTAAGGGTGCTAAAGTAACTAGACTTTACTAGATTTCTGTTTTCGCGCTTCATGTAATGGCACCCTAAGGGTGCTAAAGTAACTAGACTTTACTAGATTTCTGTGTTTCCGCGCGTTCCGTCCCGCCTGTTTTAATTACCTTATATTACACGGAGCATATATTGTGCGGAAAAGCGTAACGGAAAATTATAAAATATCAATAATATAAAAAAAATATATATATATAATTAATTTATATATGTATATTAATTATAATATATGTATATTATAAATTATATTATATATGTATAATATATGTATATTATAAACAAATTAATTATATATATATTAATTATATATTTTATATATATATATATATATAATTAATTTTTTCTGTATGATTTTTGCGTCCGTGAGTGTTCTTCTGAATACGTTTTACAGTTGACATACATCTATTTGTTATAATATATTTATTTGTTATATCTTTTTCATCCTATTTATACACGGTTTGCTTTATTTATTTTTTAATGTTTCGATTTTTACATATATATATATATTTAATTGTATACACAATANTATGTAGATATAATAGAATAAAATAATAATATAATAGAATTATATTTATTTAGTGGCTACAAATAAATATTAATATTAAATATATATTTTTTTAAACGAGACTTTTACAATATTCGTTCTTTCTATATACCGGAGACATTAATAGATCCATCTATTAAACAAATATATACATATTACACATGTTATTTGTCAATGTTAAATATTAAATAAATGGCCAATACTTTTACGTTTTGATAAGAAAATAGGAAGGGAGAGCAGTTACATTATCGACACGACGTAGTTGTGGACACATCCGATTGCTAATAGTTAGTTCGCACGGCGCTCGTTGGCGCTACGAGCAACCGCCCCGCTTGCCTCCCGATTTTCGCGTCTATTTCGCGATTCAATGACGCGCAGTGTACACTTTACGACCACGAACTACCAGAAATTACAAGATAAACTATTCACATTCGAATTTAAGGTCGGAGATTCGAGACCTGAGAGCTGAAATTTGAGATTGGAAACGAGATCTAAGATTTGAGAACGACTGTGAAATTCGGGTCTAGGTCTTTACGCGTGGCTGTATCGAAGAGTAAAAGTGCCCTTACTGTAGGTAAAACAGGATTTGTTTAAATTAGTATTATTGCGGTATGCGCAATATGGCTTATCATTTTAATTTTTATAGTTTATGATAACACCGGGCGCTGATGGTTTTCGCGGGCCGATTACAGCGTCCCCGAAAACGTGGTTTGCCAGGGGTACCGCAGCGACGAGCAGTGGCGGTGGTGGCGGCAGAGTCAACATCCGGCTGTGCAGAAATGCGCACGTTTCGGCGCTCCTCGAGGAAAGAAGGACGCTGTGATCGGGATTTCGGAACATGAAAGTGAGATGAATGGTCGCGATACAAGGACGAGGACCTGAAGAGCACTGCCCTTTCGGGACCGGGACACTTTGCGAGGGCGATTCAAAATTTGTGTTTTTTTTTTGTTGTGCGCTCGTCCTTTATATTGTTTTTCAGCGTTGTCGCATTTGATCGTCACGTCGCGCGTGACCGCAAACGTTTTTGGTGCTTGCTAAACTCTATTCGTGTTGTCGACTCGCCGGATCGTCAGATCAAGAAAGCGAAGTCGCGCCCGATAACGCGCTGGGATAACGTTTCTCGCAAATGCTGATGCTAACTGATCAGCGGTGTGATTTGATAACATATATTATTTATACATATATATACTATAGGCTGTATATTTTTTTGTGACTCAAAGACAATAACCGCTGTCAATTATCGCCCGTTCCAAAAATTTACTCGATCCGGAACGGATTACTCCGCTCTTATTATCTCGTGAAATTGTCACCGCCGTTTCGCGTCGAGGGAATCATCGGTGTCTCGCATCTGAAGCAGCAGGCCGGTCCCTCCCCGTCCCTCCCCTCTGCCTTCCACCATAGTCGACCCGGCGAAGCTAGCTTGTCCGCGCGACAACGCAAACACGGCTGGACACATTGAGCACACGAGGTACATCGGCACACAGGGTACGCACGAATTTATGCGATCTATCTTTTATCGCGGCTTTAAAGAATTAAATTTAGAAAAAGAGAATCAGAAATAAATAAAAAGTTGTGTGTGTTCACAAAGGATATACGGACATTCATAGAGTAGGAAGGAGAAAGAACTTTATAGAGAGAACGTGCAAGGCATATAAGTCGTTGAGGCTCAACACTTGCATTAGGCCCTTGTGTTGTCTATTCGAGAGTTTCAGAGAAAAGATTTAGCGAAGTAAGAGAAAAACAAAAGTTTGCTTTTACTAGCACAATTCGAAGAAATATCCATTTCGGACATGGTGAATTTTTCTGAGTTTGCAAAAACGACAATAATCTTAAATAAATCTCTTTTTATAATATTTTTTTCTTTTCTTTCTCTCTGTGTTTTTCTCTCTTTCTCACTCATGCATGCACCCATAAGACACACACATATTCATTCTCTCTCTCTATGTCTTTTTCTCAATTTGTTTTGTATATGGACAATGTGTACATTGTAATTACATTGTTATGAATATTTTTACTTAAAAAAAGAATTGTACAAAGAATTTTTATAATATATAGTTTAAGTAATTTACTGTTCTACAACATTGTTAAAAATTTATAATATGGAGATATTGTATGAAGAGATTTATCCGCAGCAATCAAGTATGTATGCGTCTTGTTTATGTTTTTGAAGAGTACAAATAAGAAGAGGAAGATCATATATGTTGATTGAACCAGTCTGTTTCACATTACTATATTGTGTTGAGTATAAAATCACATACGACACACACACACACACACACACACACACACACATATATATATATATATATATATTAAATTTACATATATAATGTAAAGTTTGAAATTTTACATGTATAAAAACAGTAAAATAAATGCATGTCTATTTTATGACAGAGTCATGTCATCAGGAGCAGGATCTAGTGGAACTGGAAGAGGACGTGGTTCCTCTTTAGCAGACAATAAACCTGAAAGTAAGGAAGCTAAGCCAAATCCAAAGATGTCAAAAGCTTTAGGAACTTCTGCTAAAAGGTGTTAAAAAATTTAATTAACTATGCTAATCAAATAAATATTATGTTACTTTGTAACTATTAAATTTATTTATTTTCATTAGGATACAAAAAGAATTAGCAGAAATCACACTTGATCCACCCCCCAATTGCAGGTAAAATATTATATAAGAAATAAAGTTTCTTTTACACACATAATATTTAGAAATAACCAAGTAAAGATTTATGAAAATACAGCTCGTATTCCAAAGTATAATACATATAATGTATGTATAAAATATGTACATTTTATTTTATAGTGCAGGACCGAAAGGTGATAATTTATATGAATGGGTTTCTACTATATTGGGTCCTCCAGGCTCAGTTTATGAAGGTGGTGTGTTCTTTCTTGATATACATTTCTCCCCAGAATATCCTTTTAAACCTCCTAAGGTAAATCAATAGTTTTAACTTCAAATATTAATTTTGTATTGCGCATGTGACCATTTAAGAAATTAAAACACTTTATAAGAGAAAATAATGTCATGTAGCAACATATTACATAAAACATTTGACTTATTTTGTTTTTGTTTTATAGGTTACATTCCGAACACGCATCTATCATTGCAATATAAATAGCCAAGGAGTTATCTGTTTGGACATATTAAAAGATAATTGGTCTCCTGCATTAACAATTTCAAAGGTTTTATTGTCAATATGTTCTCTCCTAACAGACTGCAATCCAGGTAAACACATCTATAAGAATTTATTTAAATTTGATGTAAGATCATATACACATGCGTAATTATGCAGATTTTATGTGATTGTATATTTTGCAGCTGATCCACTGGTAGGTAGTATAGCTACACAATACCTACAAAATAGAGAAGAACACGATCGCATAGCACGGCTTTGGACCAAGCGCTATGCTACATGAGCATATTTCTTCATCTACTCATTAAACTCCTATTAGTCTCATGCCAACTTATGATTGCTGTTGCTCTCATACAAACTTGTCTCATATATGTAGTCTGTATACATCTTTATCTATGATCATGTTGGTCAGAAAAACATGCAAGTGAGCGAAAACTGTTTGAGATCAGCTCAAACATTATTGTGATGTGCTTTTATGTTGAGTATGTAATGTGCCTAAGATGAATGAATGTGCGTGCATATGTGTGTTCAAATCAGTGTGCCAGGGCATAACGAGACAGGAGTTTTCCACTTAAATAAATGAGATAGTATTTAAATGGTTTGTATTGTCTATCACAATGCTAATGTTTCTAGAATAGGAGATAACATGAACAATACTAGTAATCTACTTATGTAAGTAATTAATAGATAGAAGATAAGATCATAGAGGCCCATTTTGTCATAATTAATATTTTTATAATGAAATTTTATTTGTCGTAAATTTTTAAATTATTATGTTTACATTTAATGTGTCTTGCTTGGCTCAAAGTTATTATCTACCAACAATCAACATGTAGTTATTTAGCTACATCAAAACTGCTGCACATACACGATTTGCGTTCATAATATGATAATCGTAATGTTCTGCATGAAGCAGATACAATCCCACATTGTCTGGGCCCATCCGCAAAAATATTGTACTTGTAAATAAATATCTATTATTTCATGTACACACATGTGTAATGCTGATACATTCACAGAAACTTCTAAGTTTTCGACCCGAAGCTTTTACATTCTGTTTACATGTGCAAACTAAAAATTTTCAATAGATTTCATCAATAAGTTCGGTTAACTCGCGATAAATTTTTCGATTGACAAATTTCTGTTTTCTTTCAGTAAATTGTGTAGCGCTTTATTTAAAGTGCAGATAAAGAAAATAACAATAAATAACGTTAACCAACATTGGGGTAATCTGTATGATCTGATAAATTTTCTATTAGTTGATTCTCTATTATAGACTAGAAAAAATGTTTACATATCAATTTTTTGCATATTCAAAATTTGCCAGATTTTATAAGAGTGGAATAATTTTATTATCTTTTCAATATGAAGTGCATACTGAACGTTTTGAATATTTTTTGTAATTTTCTAAATTATACACGGCAACCAAAAGCAAAGTGATTCGAAATCACTTTGTACATATCTGTTCTAAAACTAGATAGTTGCTTAAAGATGTATCGAGTGTATAGAGAGAAAGAAAGAGAGAGAGAGAGAGAGAGACAGAGACAGAGTAAATGTAATAAGTCATATATACAAAAATGAAGAGCGGAAGCTTGCTTGACGAATTATTGTATTGTACAGTTTATTGTGTAAAGTAAATGCGCTTTGGCATTGGTTTCTTCACTAAATTCAAGAAATGTAAATATTGCGTGAAAAGCATGTGCGAAATATCTGCGATTCGCGTAAACACGCGATATCTATACCTATGTATGAAGAAAATTTAAATAATCCTGGATTTGAATTTTGTCGGCAAATCTTATGCAAGCCAGAGTATGTAGTTTCACACAATTAAAAACAGAAAGTATATCTTATAGTCCTGTCTCGAGACTGTAAATAGGTTTATTATATTATGTATAAGATATAATACGTATCTTTCATGTTCACATGCATTTGCAAATACATACTATAAACGTATAATGGATCTCGTTATTTCTAAATGTGTTATACGTAAAACATATATATTTAGCCACGTTGTACGAAAAAACGAAAACATTTTAGATCCGGTCTAAAACCAGCATATATACTTTTGTGTAAAAAGAAAACTAGGAACAAAAAAAGAAAATAAAAAAATGTCGTTGCGGCATTTATTCACCTGTTTCGACGATCTAAAATTAAAGCAGGTATACGCTGACAAAACAGATTCAATTCATAAACATTTATATACATATATATATATTCGCATGTATAAAGAATATAATCGCTCCGGGAGCGATTCAATCAATCAACCCGGTTAAAAAAGCTATATAAATTGTATCAATAGAAAAGTATAAGAAGGGCAATCCTATAATATTGATAAGTAGTAATCTTTTAATCGATATACATATAATAAATTAAATACAATTTATTACACACCGAGTTGATGTTCGATTATTATTACGTCACCTTTCCTGTTATTTTCTCTGAAATCTCAGGTTTTTTAGTATTTTATAAAGCAAGTTGGTTGTATACACAACGCCTAAATATAATTCTTTTCAAAATATTAATCATAAAGGGAATGGAAAGGATCTTAATAAAAAAAAAAAAAATTACCACATCCTTCACAATTTCATTAAATTTATTAGTATACATAAAAGCTAGATGAATACGTGCTAAGAACATGTTGAGATTCCTAAAATGCCATGAATTATTGTTATATTTTGTAATATTTTCAATAATAATGAAATTTATGTGTTTATTAATTTAATCGACACACTAAGTTACTAACTAATAATTTATGTGTAAAACTAATGTAAGCAGCCAAAATAGAATTTCGTACAAAATTGTTATATATATATATATATGTATGTGTATGTGTGTCTGTGTACATGTAAATATGTAAAATACCAATGTTATTTATTTAATACTGATTGCAACAATCTTGATCAGTCTTTTGCGTTGCCTGGTAATTAAAATACATAGATTCTAAAAATTTTTAATTAAATATCTTTGATACAACGGATGATTTTATACATAGTTAAAAGAGTCAAACTCTACACAACATAGACAGGTGCTAGTTTCGAAACTACATTGCACACAACGGTCGGATAGGATAATATCGAAAAATGCTTTCTCTAATCTCTATCAACTTATAAAATAAACATTACTATATACGTTACTAGATTAGGCACACTGCAATATCTCGTAAGTAATAATTAACTTCTATGTTTCTGCGCAGCTATGGTTGTTCTTTCTCTACAAACGTTCAATATTTTATTTCTGAGATCTTATGCATTTTGTCACTATGTACGTGTGTGTGTGTACATGTGTGCAGTGTGTGCCAATGATAAATTTAAATTATTTTAACATTATAATATTCCTTTTTCTTTTTCTAAAATGGTAAATATATTTTATTCTTAAGTATATATAATCTTTTATGACATAATTATATAATTTAATCATATATATATATATGTATACATACATATACGCATATATATACATATATAAAACATACACATATATTTAAAATGTTAACATTTTTCATAAATTGTGAGTATACACACACAAGACTGCAGAGAAACTTACGCACAATTCAATCCAAGTTATGGTACTTGAATTCGTGAAATCGACAAACGCAGTAGAAAGTTTAGATTTTTTCTTTTTTATACGTAGATTAAAAAAAAATATAAACGTTTTCATGTAATTGACTACATGACTACATGTATTATATTTAATGGCACCCAATTAGCGTTAAATTTAAGTAGCATTTAAAGAAATGTTTTTTTTTTTTATCTTTAATCCTTAACTGGATGCACGGAGGTCAAACTGACACTTAATGCAGCATTGCATATAATTTGAAACCAAATATCTCATATTAGATAAAGAAATATTTTTTTCAAATACAAACTTTTAACTTATAAATACGATTTTTTTAAAATCATTATTGCATACTTAACTGAAACATCCCTCATTTTGAAAGTACTAATATAAAATTAAAATTATTTACAAAACAAATATAAGTAAAATGAAATTTGTAAGTCAAATTGATCTCCACGCAAACATTTCTGTCAAAAAAAAGTCACACGCCTGGTTAAGAGTCAAGTGGAAGCAAGCGAAAAAAAAGTTTTATTGTATAGTTTCAATATCTTATTTTCATTTATTTCTTTTTCCAATTATCGAGGTTTTTTTTTTAATGTGAAACAAAAGAATTCTATGTACAAAGCTCAAGAAAAGCTCATTTTTTAACTTTGACGTCTCGCATAATTGTTCTTATTATGTTTTTTCTTTCCAGAAAAAAATAACTTATTATTTAATAGAAATAATATATTAAATTTTTTGCTTTGGTCCCAAATATGAATAAACGTATTCTCAAACATGCATATAAATATTTTCGTGTTCGACTGTTCAGTAGCGTATAGTGCAATAAAGCGCAATAAGATCAATATTAGTGTGTTCATTGACATTTACAAAACAGCTAACTAAATTATTATGACAAGTAAAACTAGCTAGCTTCTACACTCAGTTTTAAAATTTATCAAGCTACATGTCATGACACGCTAATTTTGTTACATTATTAGTACATAATATACAGAACTTTTGTGTGTACATCCGAAGTACTATATATATATATATTATATATTATATATTATATATATGTATATATAATTTTACGGAGTATCGTCGATTACGAATAAGAGTACGTTGTCTTTTCGTTTCTTGCTTGTAAAACACAGAAAATCATTACAAATTCGATACACAAAAAAGATTACTACACATTGTATATAGTATATATAAGTATTAGAGACTTGTATTTCGTCGATGAGGAGGCATGAAGAAAACAGACGTCGATATTGCATATATATGTTAATGTACGTGTGTCTGTGTGTATTTACGCAAATATGTTTTTTTTTTTTTTTTTGATAGTATGTCAAATTCATACCAGAACGTAAGTTTGTATCCGTAAGTAATTACTACACATTTTGTTGATTCTGCACTCTGAGGAAGATTAGCAGAAATGGTTTTTGTTTGTTTCTTCTTTTTTTTTTTTTGTAAATCTCTCTGGCAAAAACTAAGAGGAATGATGGCTACGCTTTGTATACTATTAGCCTACAATGATTACGGATTGAATACGTGTAACGCACGAAAGATTACCGAATTTCATATGTAAACGTATTTCATATGAAAAAAAAAATAAACGTGTCAAACATACATGGCACATAACATATTTAACAAGCACCTTATTACGTATACCAAAATCAATTCTATTAGTAAAATCTCTGGCTGGTAAACGGATTCGCGTACATATTTTTGACTAGTCTTTTTTCTTGCTTTTTATGATGTGTGATATGTATTTTGGCAGATATTGGCAGTAATTTGGTGTTACATTTAATAATACAAACACGACGACGTTTCTTTCTCGTCTTTTACGAAGAAATGCTTCTACACGAAAAATAGAAATGCCACTTTTTTTGCATTTTTCTATTCAAAAGTGTACATAATATTGCATTGTTATTACCAAACATGTATTACACACATCGAGATGTCTAACTTAAAAATTATCACACTGTACACAATAAATGCTTGTGACATCATTCCTCTTTGGATATATATTTGTAAGCATAATAAGGATGAGATTACGGTAGTAATGAATCTACAAGTATTTATCAACCAATGTGTATGATGAACAATATATTATGAAATGCCTCCTAACTGATGGCAGATCAGTGTGCTGTGGTTTCGCTGTAAGTAAAAACATTACATCACTAACATGAAAATGCTTTGAAGAAACATCAAATTTTACGGCATATATTAAAGCAGTTGTACAATATAAATAAGAAAAAAACAAAAACAAAACAAAAATAACTTTACAATTTTTATATATGCAATACTATTTTAAAAAATTTAAGACTTTTGACGTAACAAGTAGTTTTCAATACACTGACTTGAAAATGACACATTTTATTATCTATGATATCAAACTGAAGAAACTCTATTTTGGTGGTTTTTGTAACACAGAGATAAAGTGACTTTCTTAAAATAATTTTGTTATATAATATATGCGCTTTGCTATAATTTATACAACATGAACAGCTATTACTTTCATCTATTTCTATATACCTTATTGTATATATATATATATATATCTCTTTCATAAGACATTTTTATGACTGTAACACTATGTAAACTTTATATTGCGGTAAACAACAAAGTATTTTAATGTTCACAAATATAATATAATATTTCTTTTGTGTATAAAACGCAGCAAATGTGTGTAATTAATGTGCAATTGCAAATTGAGGCTAACATTATTTTTTTATGTCTTTTAATCTTTGAGTTGTTAAACAAGGAAGCTTTTCATTAACATGAAGAATATTATATATAATTAGGTACAAATTAGAAAACATACTGAAAACAAATTGCACAGTGACACATGTTACTTCAATCACAGTATTTCGTTACATTTCATAGTTTTACTGATTGACATTTGTATTTTAACTGATTGAAGTGTGTATACACATAAATAAATTTATTTTTAACGTGGTGTACATAACATGCAACAAAAAAAAAGAAATGCCCTTATCATACACCATTAGGTTAATGCTGAAAAAGTATCCATCTGTCTTAGTACTTTATTTTAAATCATAGGTTCAGATCTCGGAGATGCGAGATCTGATTTGAGCACGAATATCTTTAGATGGATTCCACAGTTTGCTTATACTTGAAGCCACGTCTGACAACAATATATAGCAACAAATATATATACGTTTCATTTAGTTGTATCGTGCATTATATTTAAGTGTAACTTCCATGCGCTCATGAAAGTTAAAAAGAAAAATATCAAATATATAAATATCAAATATGTGCATTCGCAAGGACATATACAATATCACAATCTGAAGTGAAATAAAGTCTTAAGAAATGGATACTCTTAAAACCTGAAAATGATACTGCTTGGTATTATAGCAGAGCCTCGACAACAATATCGATATACAGTGCATCATGCGAAATATATATATTAAGCAAAATACATCAGAAATAAAAAGTACACTTACAAGCTGTACGATTATATTGGTGAAGCAGATATTGAGCAAAAAATAGAAGCTGTTTGATAATTATTTTTTAGCACTTTCATCAATTCTTTAATAGTTTTGTATAAAACTTTACCGATATTACAAAGTTATCGTGGCTCAACTATAACAATATCAATATCACAATAATATATTGAATGGATTAGAAGTATAGTTATATAAAAAAAATGATATTGTAGTAGAGTACATATACTCTTCGAGAATAACAAGATATAAGTCGTTATCATTTGTATGTAAAATCGTTCGAGCTCTTGTTTGTAAAAACATACAAAATACACGTTACGTGTGTTTACGTTTTATGCCCTTTAGTTAAGACAAGGCCCAAATACCAAAATAGCGGTAAGAGTTTTGGAAATCTTTAAATTGTGTTTGCCTACACATCACGCTCATTTTTTCAATGAAAAACTAATTTATACGAACCAATTGCGTCTTTGCGATGAGTGTTATAAAGAGAGTACAAGCGATAAAAGAAAGAAAATATTTTATGTATAATTGTGCATGGACTTAAGAGTTAAATGGTAACAAAAACAAGGAAAAAAAATAAACTAGTGACAGCTTGTGTGTAATAGACCAGGTTTTATATAAGTGCATTTTAGGCTTGTTGTAATGAATATTTGTGTCTATCAGCTTACACAGTCTCATATTCGCGGCGAATTGAGCGAGCCAGACAGCACGCGAAAATTACTCCAATGAACTGAAAAAGACATTTTTCATGTTTTAATAAACTCATATTTTGTTTATCATTATCACACATACGCGTATGTATTATCTTCGCTCTCTAATGGTTAACATATGCGAAAGTCTCGATAAATCTTTGTTTTCGTGTACTAACAAATAAACATTTTTTTATTTTGCTACCAGAATTGAAATATATTTTTGAGTGGTACTCGTACGTGATACATTTATTGATGTCACCCGGAGTTCTTTGATATTAATCATTAGAGAGCGACGTACACGCACAACATTAATAATTGATAAATTAAAACTCAGTCTTCCTTTTTTTTTTTTTTTCAAATAAAACGCTACTGCCGTCTGAATCATATGTATTTTTTCAACACATGACGCTACAATGTAATAGTTTAATTTAGAACTTACTTGTATGAGAGCTATGCCTATGCCTACTCCTCCCAAGATCAGAGCGTTATTTTCTATTGCAGACTTCAATTTCCCAATGCAACCTTCATCGTGAATATGAATCGAATTCAAATCGCACTTGCTCTGTGCGGGTATCTCGTTACAGCAAGTATCGGGAACGTTGTTGTTCGGGAAACCAATCTTAGGCCAATCCGCAGGACCGTTCATACCGCAACATTGTAGCTGAAATCGTATCGTTTTTCATTGAAATAAAAAAAATTCGGTTTATCTTCAAAATCAGACGCGAGAGAGTCGTTTTTTTTTTTTACATCTACATCTAGTGCTTTTTATTAAAATTTTGTAATATAAAACCTTAATTTAAGTAAATCGAATTGATCGCCAAAATCACACAGATTGTAATAACTTACATCGTGCTGCATGATATCCCATGAACGGCGAACATCTTCTTTGGTATTGTATTCTCGTAAGGTATCATTCAAACGGTTTTCCAACATGTTGCCAACTTCTCCTCTCATCATGTAACCTGTGATTCCAGCGCCTAATTCCAGAGCGAACATCAGCATCAACAGAACTGAAAACTACAACAAAACAAACACTCAAAATTATTATTACACGAGCGTGAGGTAACTTTTTATCTTGATTTAAAATCTCGCGCGTGCAATAAAAGTTTCTCTCTTTCTGTACAATTAAGTGCACTTTCCCCTTAAAAAAAAAAAAAAAACTTATATGTACATACAAAATATGTTATAAATCACATATTGTGTAAGAAATGTGCAAAAATATTTAAAACTTCTGTCGCTTTTAAAGAGAAACAAAAAACAGGTGTAAATATAAACATACAATATATATATAGTATTCTCAAACACACATACCGTAATTATCATGCAGTGATTTTCCTTTACGGCGCCGCAACATCCAAAGAATGACACGAGGAAGACTATAACGCCAACTATTATCATTAAAACCGGTGCTGCGAAGAACCAACTGTCCACGAAGTTGTTGTATCCGCTGTAAGCAACTAGAATTACCGCTCCCACCGAAATAAATACGATACCGGTTATCTGAAACACATATTAAAAAATGTTCCATTTCTTTTGTTTCTAAATTCAACCCCGCGCGTGTGTTTCTTTTAATTAGACAATAATTCCATCTTTAAAAATCCTCTCGTATACGTTTGCTCGTATTAACTCGCTATTAACGCGCGCTCAATGCGTTCTCTTACAACGTATTACAACAGGCGCTTGCTTTCACAAAAGCGCCGTACTTGTAAAGTGAAAGCCTTAATTAGTGTCATTATCCAAACGCGGATCTTTTACGGCTAATTTTATGTAATACGACGGTTGTACAAGTATTATCCGTATCTTTTCTCAGAAAACCACAAACGGTTTTAATGGTTTATCAGCCAATATTATCAAGCTTGTAAATAATGTATTTATGAGAAAAAACTTGATACAGCTTTCAAGTAAAAAAAAAAAAAAAAAAAAACGATAAATTATAGGTCAGAGATTTGATGATTTTTTTTTTTTTGTTTACCAACAAGGAAGTAGGACTGTTGCGTGGAATAGATTTTTCAACGGAGAGCAATTGTGTAAGAATCACTCGAGAGTAAGCACGTTAACGACAGCAACTGTGCAATTATGCTGTCATAATTCTATTAGAGAGAAACCAACGCAAAAATCTATACGTACATTGCAACAAAGTTAATTGCGAATATATATATCGCGTTATATAAATAAAAAAATTCGCAGTCTACTCTCTTGAATTAATTTTTGTCTAAGTTGCAAGTGCGCAACTGTCATATATTATACATGAAAAAAAATGAGATGTAAATAACACAGGTAATAAAATAATTCAATTTATCGTAATGTCACAATATAAAAAAAATGTCGTTCGTTGTATATATATATAAATTTGTTGAAATATATTTTTCTCCAGAAAACAGTCATTGTTTCCGGAAGAATGTGTGCGACTCTCTCTCTCTCTCGTGTGTAATCAGTCGCGGATACGTTCGCACAACAAGGCTTTATCAAAGCCGCGAATCGCGCGCTTGCGGCACGGGGCTCTTGTTTGATGGATCGAGCTAAATAAAGACATACACAGCGCGAACGACCGTCGACATTTATACCGGGGCCGGGGGAAAAAAAAAAAGTTGGTGTACGCGCAACTGCGACACCGCTTTGTAGAGGTAGGTAGAGAGATAGGCGATAATCGCGCCCAAGTAGACAGATAGTACAGACTTCTCTTCCCTCGCGTCTCCTGATAGTTGGGGGTCTACGTGTCTCAACTAACGTGTGTTGGGCTCGCCTACGTTTTACACGCGCTTTAACATTCATGTGTGTGTGTGTGTGTGTGTGCGCGCGGTTGTCTTCGGGGCTGCGAACCCGACCGACTCCGCCGGTCGATTCGCCGCGCGGTGGCTTTGCCTTCGAGCAAAACCCCAGATAAGGCCTGGTTTAAAGACTCTCGGTCGTTTGCTAACAGGTGACTTTGCGCGCCAGGTCGGAACTTTAATCATGAATTTATTGAAAACTTTTTCAAGCAACGGGGACAAACCTACAACACAACTGGGGTGTTCCAGAAAAACAAAATGTAGAGCAGAACGTAATAAAGTTGTTGCAATCGATTACAAGCGCAATTTCTTTGTGAAATTAAAAAAAAAACAGACGATTATTCGTCCGTAGATTTATTTAAATGACGAAATATTTTTTGTTCGTCAATAAAACGAAGAGATACCCGATCGTTTCAAGAGCGAGAGTCTGTGCGCGCAAACATTCAGATAAACCCAGAGAGAGAGACAAATAACAGAGTATCTAACTCGATACGTACACACGTTATATTATTTCTCTTCGCGTGAAACAAAACAGATATCAAATTTCGCAACAAGAGAAGCTGCTGCGACTTGTACACGTCGGCTTCGCCGGCTCGTGCTCTATCTGGGACGCCCCTATGTATAAACCCGGTCGTCGCTTGGCATTTCACGCTGGATGGATCATTAAACGTGCAATAAGGGATGAGTAAGACAAGATATGCCCCGGCTGTGGTCTTTTTTACGAGGCCTGTTTTTTGTGAGAGGTTTTCTCTCGCGTCTTATCGTTACATTCTTTCGGTTTCCTATGGCGCCGCGGTGTGTTTTAGTCTCACGGCGGAGTCTGTCTCTCTATCTGGAGTACCCACTTCACTTTCAATAGTTTTCAGCAGTAGTTTCTATGTATCTTGGATGATTTTTAGATTATTTCGTCGACGTAACTACGTTCGAATAAACGTAGACAAGTATTATCCAGATAATTTTCCTCGCGATCGAGCGCCTTTAATCGCCCGATCTCGTCATCGCGTTGTTTCTTTTTTCGGCAAAACACATTTTTGACAAATAAGAAAACAAAAATCGTTGTTGCGACTGTCGTCAGATAATCGGCAGTTTTTTTTTATCGTTAACGCGACTCCAAACGTAAATGGATTTTCATTCGGTGCACAACTCGTGTGTGTGTGTGTGTGTGTGTGTGGGCAAACCCTAGATTACATTAAACGCGTTGAAAGTATCGATCGTCTGTAACACTTGCAGCCGAAGTTCTGTGGAACATAGGCACACATCGCACAAAGTTTTCTTCGAAATAATATCATATCCATCTCTCGTATCATTTATTCACGAAACACGGTGTATGCGACTTTCGGTCGCGTTCATATACGCTGTTATGTATATCGATCAGATTATTATTGACGCTAGAAACGCGGATTATCGACGTTAGATCGAACACAACCTGTATACGAAAGCCGTATAAAAGACATTCGCGAGAGAAAGCGAACAAACGATCGGAGAGGAGATTGCGTAAAACGTGACGCGATAAAAATATTGACACAACACGTCATAGATGTAATTGTTTGTAGTCTATTTAAAATACTGGAACTACCGTTTATTTTATATATATATATATATATATAAAATATATTTGATATATATATATATATATATATATATATTTATTAAATAAATATATATATATATATAAATATATATATATAAATATTGTAATCAATAAAAATTCCACGTACTCTTTTTACATTATATCTCGTGTATTTACTTGTATACGCTGGCAAATGTTTTTTAAGTATTGCGTCTTATCGTAAATAGGCGATAGCTATACGGAATACACAAGATGTCAATGATTCATCGGTCTCGGTGCCGAACCGAATGGCAGGTCAAGCGCGGTGTCAAATTTTTGACTTCGGAACAAATCAACACACGTCAGAGAGAGAACCCAGAGGCGACTTCCAGATGCCGCTTTCCTGAGGCTTGACCGATATACAACAAAGCATCCGACCGACGCGGGGCCACGCCGAGAATAGGCGGCGGCTTCGAATAACGGGGAAACGGGACGACGGCGCGTTCGTTTGTCGTTTCGTCCTTTCCATTCGGGATTCCAAACAAACAAACACACACACAAAGGAGCGGGAGGATTCGTCCCCGATTAAATACGTCGTTACTCACCGCGAATATCAAATTGAAGAAGAACAGCACGTATTTCACGCAAGCCATGCCGCCGGACACCATTTTCGTAACTCTACACTGTGTGTGCGGCAAGCTTCAAAAAAAATCACTTAGACCTTACGTAGCGCGTCTCCTCCGGCAAGTCTGTGGATAAGTAGATGTCGCGCCTTTTATAATCGTAACGTGTGGAAACTGACTCTTATCCTTCGTTTTTTTTTTTTTGTCACGTCAACCCCTTTCTCGACTTCTCTTCTCTTTTCGATTATACCACTGTCGGCAACTTCTGTTCCCGGGAAAGCTCGCGCGTCGACTGTCCGTCGTTAAGTGTGCGCGCACGGGTGTGAGTTTGTTGTGTTGCGCGCGGTATACGCTGGGAGACGGATGCGCGCGCATCGACGACACCGGTATCAGGATCGACTCGCATCGTCGCCGTGACCGAACGTGACAATAATTTTAATTAACCTAACGGATAATATAAATACATTGTACAAGTATTTGTTTCTTAATTAATTATTACCAAGACGAGTAGCACACGTCGGAATGTGAGAACATGAGAGACGTGGTTCCACGTCTTTTCATCTTGGATACGAAAGGTGAGCAAAATATGGGTTTTATTCGCTTTCTAATGATGTATATATATATATATGTATCTCTAGAGAAAGAACTTTGTTATTGGAGAAAATATCAGACTGTTAGAAAAATAGAGAATATTATAGTTTAGATATTTTTTATTATTATTTATTTATTCACATCAGCCTTCCCGGCCAAGAAGATGATATGCCTAATATCCATCCATCCATCTCCATACCTCAACGTCTCCCATTCTCCCAACCTACACAGGTATTTTTTTATTATTGTTAACATAATTATTTTATTCATCGTACGGGTATTGTTTTCTCATCCGAATAATTTTCTCATTTTTCAGATTTATACGGAGATTATTTGTTCTTTTACACATTGTCTCCAACTTTTTATTTCAAATCACCATCCGCGTTGTTACGTGTCTGTGCGTGGTCGCGCTGCACCTTCCGTCGAAGCAACGCAACGTTTGCAACCGTGTGTTGCACTGGGTGGTGGTGGTGGTGGTGGTGTCATGGCGTACCTCAGCCGCCACACAACAAACCACGTATCCACATTACGCATCCATCTTTATCTTTGATTCTCGAATATCGTCACAAACGACAAGATTTGTACAACTGAAAAATCGTATATTGTCATCATCATCATCATCATCATCATCATCATCGATAATTTGAGATCCGACAATTCCCACGGTTCTACCGCCACTTTGTCATGTTTTAAAGTCTGCACAGGTATACCGATATGTTAATACAACAGCGGACAGAGAAAGAGAGAGAAAATCCCCTTCGTCGTGATGGTAAATCTAAAAAATACAACAATATTAAAATATTATAAATAATTTATTAAGACATTGAAAAAAATGATAACGAATAAAATGCAATTTCGTTAATTGATTGAAAATACAAAATTGACCTTTTGCGTATTCCCACGCGAATAAAAATGCAATTTTTCAATGCCGGTTTTAATGTAAAACACGTCATTGCGAAAAATATCGCGCCTCATAAATCGAAATATTTTTCTCCTTGTTTTTTTCATGTCATAAATTACGCGGGGGAGAGGAGTATCAATCTCGATACTGACGACGGACTCTCTTGACTTGGTGAGAAATGAAACACAGGCGGAAAACAGAGGCCGGTGCAACGAACGGAGAGAATCTGTAACGCCTACGCCGTGAATTACCGATGCTGACACGCTTCAATACTTCTCTCTCTCGTCGACATCTATTATTACACACGTCACACGCGCATGTTTTTCAGGTCTATATAACTCCCGCGTGCGCGGTGCATCGTGAAAACAAAGAAACGGTTTTGACGAAACGGAAACCCAATCACGGCGCTCTCGGCGAAGTTAAACGTCTATACGCGCCTGCGGACGTTTTTCTGTGTCAACTAATAGCTGTCTCTAATTTTCTTTTAGACAAGAACCACTCGATAGTTCGTTTCTCTTTGGAAAAAAAAAAAGTTTCATTTGTTCTGGAACATATACTTTGTATGCGCGTGGAATATTTGAAAGTAGTATTTTTTTTTTTTACTTCTCATTAGAATATGTCTATTCTAGAACAAATGGAACTTCTGTTTCAAAGAAACAAACAACTGATAATTCTTGTCTAAAAGAAAATCAGCACTCGTGTAACAATATTACACGTACTTGTTATTATTCGCACGCGCGCACGCAATATAATTATTTAACATCGCTTCCATCAAAGCTTTTTTTTTTTTTTTGTATTGTGATTTGCTATCGAGAAAAATATTAGTCTTGACATTTTTCCTAAATATATATCAATTATCGACTTTTTAAATATAAACATTTATGTTAAATACATGAAAAAAAACTTTGCTCCGCGCCATTATGTTAAATACATGAAAAAAACTTTGCTCCGTGCCGTTAGAAGAATTTTTTATACACGTGTAAAATTATCCATTGTGTTTATTTAATTTTTCAGCACCCCGTTCAACCGTGCAACACAAATTTTTACACAATTAAATCGGAAGATCTCTTTGATCGGATTTTGCTTTTGCAAGAATGGTTTGCCTTATTTACACGACGAAAGCGTTGACCACGTGCTCGAACGCATAAATAAGCGACACCAAAAAAAAAAAAAAAAAAAAGTTCTCCATAATGTTAGCCACGTCAGGTCTTGTACACACAACCCTCAGACGGTGGCTAAATATATATGAATATAAAATGAGTACGCGCGCGGGGCATGCGTATTCGAGTCCACTCTTCAGGGCCACATCAAGCCGCGTCCAAGAGCGCTCGGAAATGTGCCACCAGTTGTCAACCCTTCACAAGTAAGACAATTGAAATATATATATATCGATTGTAATTTGGGTGATCGATTGGACTTCTATGTACGCGATGTGAATACATATATCTGAAACTTATAGAAGAATTATATACACATATGTATTATAGAATATCAGAGAAATACATATATTCTTTTACATGTAATAATATTTGTTTTTTTAGAAACATGTGAAATGGAGAGTTTCTTAAAATTTGACAAAAAAAACGTGAGCCTGATCAAGACACGCACTGCGCGCTCTGAGATGCAGTTTACCTTTTTCCGCCTCCGATTTCGCCCTGCTTCATTCGCCAGGACGTACAAAAATATTTGTGTCGCAAAGATTTGATCGTCGCATCATTAACCGTGATCACGCGGCCTCGAGTAATAACTTACTCGAGTACTTACTCAAGTAACGACCGTGCGATGAAATATATGTGTCAAGTGTTATCCTTGAACATTGAATGCTTATTGAATATTATATTAGCGTAACATAGTACGTACGTGTGTGTGTGTGTATGTATATGTATATATGTATGTCAGGATCTGATCTATATTCTACGTCTTCGTGTAATCTCAATTGCGGGCTATAACTAACGACACGTACCGAACTGGCGAACGGGATTACCGCAGGTATTGTGCAACACGCTATCGGATTGCTTGCCGCGTGTATAAAAATTTCTGCGCGAGTTGTACTTGACAATCCCGCCGACCTCTTACGTATACGCGAACATATATATGTTGCAGAGAGTGCTTATTAAACCGGAACTTGTTTATTAAAAAGTAAATCCGCGATTTGTCGCTGTTCGTACGCGATCGCACCTTTTCTAAGCTCGTTGAAAACTTGAACGTTAGAATTCATTGAAATTCAATTGTTCCATCCCATTTGCTAAAACTTAAAAAAAAGATGCTTTAGTCTCTCAATCTTGAGAAACAAGTTTCGATCAATTTTTGAAACGAATTGATCAGCCAAACAAGTCGCAAAATCACCCGGAGATTCAAACTTCGGCGAAATCCATCGGTTTGATCGCATCTCCAGAAACGCCGTTTTTTCATTTTTGAAAAAAAAACAAGCACAATCCGGTTTAATTTCACTTTTCTGTGAAATCTGATTCGGATTGCCGAATCAATTCTCTGTACAATACGCGCAACGTATCACACGAGGATGTAAATTCGAAAAAAGCTTGTACGCACACCTTTCATTAGGTTTCATAATTTCAATTAACAACGCGACGACAGGTGGTCGCGCGTGCGCTACGCCGATATTTCGCCACGCTCGATGTATTTTGAAACGTATTATTCCGGTCGAAGATTTCGACCGGTCTTTCCGTTGAAGATCACGTATAACGTTATACTATATATATATATATATATATATACACGTACATGTGTGTGTGTGTGTGTGTGTGTTTTCACTATATATACGTTCCGGACAGCGCACACGCACGCGACACAATCTCGCGCGCGCAAACACACAGAGACAGACTCGAGTCGTCGTAATTGACCGTGACTCTGTGTGCGAGGAAAACGTGTATATCCCGCGATACTGTGTGTACCACATGCGCATTTCGGCGTCGCTCTCGTCGGAACGCGCGTTTCTTTACGAATTGGTCTTTTTTCGTCGCAATATTTTTATTTGTGTTCCCGGTCGCGCGCAGTATTGTTCCGCGACCCGACTTCGACGGTGTATCATATCTCGCACGCGCGCAAAAAGACAAGACTTCCGACGTGAGATATACCGCGCGTGTATAAAACAAGTACACGACAATCGCAATAAAGTTCAAGCGGGCAAGTATGGCGACGATGCGGCTGAGCCTGGCACCGAGGACCGTCAAGTACCTGATATTCATCTTGAATTTTCTCTTCGTGGTAAGTATACACGCGTTGTGCGGCGGCCCGTGTTATATACTCTCTCGTGGCTTTATAACACGTTGACGTCGCTACGTTCTCCGCGAGCGATGAGGTGGCAACCGATCTGGCACTTCGATCTATCGCGAGCTCCTTCATCGATCGCGATGATTGCGTTCGCGCGACTGAATCGAAATCCGACAATCTATGTATCCGCCATTTTTGTATAAACAAACGTTTATTAATAAATATAACTAAAACTAAGGAATTAATAAATATATATCTAAGTATAAATAGATAACGACCCTCCCCCCAACTGTTCTGATATATTTTCAAAATTGTAAGTAGAAAATTTTGCCAACGTGTGACATTGGCGGATTTATATCAACTATAATTGCAAATGTTTGTTTTGAGAAACTCGTCATTGTGGAGGTTTGATAGCAGCTGTTGCGCGATGTGTTGTTGCGTATGTCATTGATTACAGATAATAAAAATTAATTGCAGTGTATCTTAGATCTCACACGTTTAGAAAACGGTTATCACACAGTTTCCGCGTAGCACACAGAATCGTTTATTTGTTGAAATGTTGTGTAAAACGTCTTTTGAGAATAAAAACAAAAATATATATTATTCTGTTTAACCTTTAACATATTCCGCGCGCGAACTACGCACGATTATCCAATTATCTAAAGCGGATTATTTTTAGCGCGGTAAATATGTTTTACACACTCACAGATATTGTTCCTAAAACATCTGTTTGCGAAACGCAAACGAGGAGAAACCGCGTTGCGACTAACAGACGAATAATAATATATTGAAATAAAATAAGAAGGGAAAAGAATTGTTAATATTTTTTCTTTAATTTTTGTTATATAACGCACATTTTTCTGAAGCGAAGAAATTTCGAAATTTAGACAGAGAATTTAGAATCAATACATGGGTATATACCGCGAGACACATGTATATACACATTTAAATTATAATTTAATTTGAAAAAAAAAATTATTTTAACATTTCTTTATTAAGATGTTTGTTCTCATATGTTAATCGATTGTAATTTTATTTGATTCGAGAAGAAAAAAAAAATTCGCTGCGGACAGGATTCGAACCTGTGCGGGTAGAACCCAATGGATTTCAAGTCCATCTCCTTAACCGCTCGGACACCGCAGCTGTTGGGGAAACACCTTTCATTTACACAATATGTGTCTCGCGGATACAAAGTTTGAAATAAAATTCGCACCGTATAAACTTCTTATAAAAATACGATGAGACTTTTTTCATTAAAACGTTTGGCATTGTAAATGTTCTTACTTTTAACAATTAAATGTTAATTTTTAGTTTTCAATATTAATTGTTTAATCTAGACAATTTATTTAACTGCTGGACTGTGCGATTGTGAGATTGCGTGTTTTTTTTTTTTTTTTAAATATTTTTACGTAATTATTACACGTAGGTGTGTTATCGGGAAGTTAATGTCTTTTTTAAATAGCTACAGGGGAAGAGACGTGTGAATATAATCCGAGGTTGTAAAACTATGTGGAACATTATAAATATATTTTTCGTATCGAACAATCGAAAATTCACAGAATCGAATTTCGACAATTCGAAGTATCGCTCTTGATTAATAATTGAATTACGTGTTCTCAGATTACAGGAATAATTTTGGTATCGGTTGGAGCGATTTTCCATGAAATGTACAATGAATATCAACATTTCCTTGACAACAGTTTTCTCTCCGTATCCAATCTTCTCATAGCCGTGGGCTCTATTATATTTTTCATCGCCTTCTTCGGATGCTGCGGAGCCGTTCGCGAGAACTACTGCATGATCACAACGGTAAGCGAAACGCGCAGAGATAAAAAATGTATTTTTTTTGATAATATTTCATTTGCACTCGTTACTCTCGTAAGATTGCGCTCGTGTCGCGCCGCTAATATATCTCGAAAAAAAATCGTAAAATTCCGATTAGTGGCGTGTAAAATTTTTCGAACCGACGCAGGGGTGTAAATGAAAAAAAAAAAAAAAAAAAACGCGCGCGACCGGTATCCAAGTTACGTCGCGTCGTTTCCCCTTCGTTCTCGTATAATATAATAAATATGTTTTGCGCATGTAATCGACATGTGTGTGGTTCTCTCCCTTTTTCGCCTCCCTATTCGAGGAAAATTGCACTCTCTCGTCCTCGCGGACGAGGGTGTGCTTCCTTCGCCAAGTGTTACATTAAAAAATTAACGCGCACGTCGGAAACCAACAATCGCAACGCAATATTTTACACGCGCCGGGATTGGATACAAATTTTTTTTTCAAGAAATCGCGCGATGTTCTCTTCACGGTGTTGCTTATTGTAAAAAAAAAAAGAAACGTAATATTTTTTTACTAAACTATTTTTTCAATAACTAATATTTTTATTCTCTTGACGATTTTCTGCCGCAGTTCTGCACGCTTCTGATAGCGATCTTCGTTCTGGAGATTATCGGCGGCACGATGGGATACGTGATGAGATCGAAAGTCGAGACGATCGTTGAGGACAAAATGTTAGACACAATGAAACAGTACAACAATAGCCAGGAGATCAAGGTCATCTGGGACAATATACAACGAAAAGTAACGCACGCCATGATACGACGGTTAACGCTTATCAGTTCCTCTTCCGGGAATAAATTTCGAAACGATAGTTTAAAAACAGAAAAATACAAATACAGATAATATTATAGGTTCTATCCGGAAAGTTCTGTCCGTTTTTGGAATAAAACAAAATACAAATTTTTCTTAAATTTTTCAAAAATGGGATATACAAATTGCCCTCACGCTGGCAAGAAATCATTAATATATATAACAATGGCAATTATATTATTGAATAAAGTTTATTGACGGTAAGAAAAATAATTGTATTTTGTTTTACTCCAAAAACGGACAGAACTTTCCGGTAGACCTAATACGTTGTTTTTTTTTTCTTTTTTGTTTTGCGTTAACAATTTTTGTTTGACGTTTTGCGCGCATCTGTCGCGTCTTCCCTTTATCGTGGGAGCGACGCGATCGTCGCTACGATATATCGTGAACGAACGACGGGGGATAATTTCAGTGCACGAGCTCTAATTCATTTCGCGTGTATAATACATGTATATATGTGATAGCTCTGGCGTGCACGCTATATAGCGACGACGACGATGGGGGTGTAAGCGTAAATCGATTTTTTCGCCGTCCCCGGCTTCCTTGACCACGCTCAATGACCTCGGCGCACACGATACGAACAACAATGCGTGAGCGTAAAAAATATATCAGACACGCTTTTTTAATCGCAAAAATCTCACTCGCATCGCGCGATCACAAATCTCGCGCAACATCCCTTTCGTTCGCGAACACTGCGCGTTTCATTTCATTCTCTTGCAGTTTGACTGCTGCGGCATGAACAACCCAAGCGATTGGATTAACAGCACCGTGCAACTGCACGGTCTTCCGATGTCGTGCTGCGAAGAAGTGATAGGAGCTGTTGGCACGGTGAGCTGCACCGTATCATCACCGAATCTCCATAAAGATGGTTGCGCAGACATGTTCGTAAATTTCGCCAAAACCCACGCGGCCAAATTAGCGGGAGTCGGCATGGGTCTCGGTGTGATTCAGGTATTCGTCGCAAATTAATATTATATAATTTGTTTTTTGAACGATATTTTGTTTTGTGAAACGTTTAAAACGAATCCGACTCTCGAGCTGTCGTTGATTGAGTAATTTTATCAATATGAAACCAAGTTAATCGATGTCTTGTATGTTGCAGTTATTGGGCATCCTTCTGTCGTCCTACTTGGCCAAGTCGATCAGAAATTGTTATCAGAACATGTAAGGTATTGCGCCAAGCACATCGGAAGAGCCGCCGTTACATTTGCCAGACAACAACTTAGCAGGATAACTTACATTTGAATATAGAACTATGCGAGTCTCGATATCGATCTGATATTTTACGCGAATACATTATTTATCAGATTAGGAAATTATTTTGCTATGTACGATGTACAGTGGTACTTCCCATTGCGCAGGAATTTTTACATGTACTTAGTTTTATCAAACCTTGATGCCATATATATATATATATATGTAAACGTATTTTTGTGATACTTTTCGAATCAGTGCGACCAAATTTTAGATCTAACGAATCACACGATTCGCATGTGTTTCGTGTGTAAAGTAAAATTCAAATGTTCAGATATATGATTCATATTTGTGTCATTGTTTTGCTTATATAAAAACATAGCAACGAAAAACGTTGAGCAGACGTTTTTCTTTAGTTCGCATAAAGACGAAAATTTCATTTCCGAGATATTCGCTTCGTATTTAAAATCTAATACAATTACGTCTCTCAGTGTGTACATAAAAAAATATATATATTAATTATATAGTCACGAAAACAATTACACAAATTAAAAGAATACAAGTTGAAACTTTTTATGTTCCGCAATATCTGTAACTTGACCACTTGGGATTGTTTTGAGTGAAAAAGCGACAAATGGGTCCGAACAATATTCCGAATCCATGTTGGATTTAGAATTTTTTGCTCAAAATAATCCTGGGAACCAGTCAAGCTATGGGCATTCTATTGCGAGACATACATATACGAACTTTTTTTTTATAAAAAATTCAATTTAATTTACTTCAAAAAAATTTTCTCTATAATCTTGCGATAATACGTTGTTTTTTTTTTTTTTCATAAAACAAAATGAACGTGTAAATAGAAATTAGGCACCAAGGACGAGAAAAGTATATTGTACTCAAAAAAAAGAAAATAATTTTTATAAGATAATAAAAATGACTTTTGAGGAACACTGTAAAAATATAAAAACAAGCAATCTTCTTTTCGACCTGAGCAAATAATTTTTACCTAACAAAACCATTAAATGACGTAAAAATATAAAAAAAAAAACTGACTGTTTTTATATAGAACGTATAATAAAAGCGTGATTTTCCCAACCGCATGACACGTCAGTGTGTGTACAGTGTATGTAGACACACTTCTTATATAGTTAATACGCGCACGAGCGAGCGAATTCAACCGCAAGTTTATCGCATCGTCATGTTTTTTTCGCAACTAATCGCAACAACTTCCTCGTTCTCTCCCACTCCACTTATAATGCACGAGCGGTTCTATAAAGAAATCGTTTGTTCGTTTGCGAAGACGTTGCGCCGTGGACGATCGTGCGCGATCGTCAGACACGAACGAACAGTTGTTCCGCTCGTCGTCGTCGTTGTTGCTCGCGGCGTCTGACGTTCGCGCGTTTTCGTATTCGCGTTATCGGCCAAGCGATAACGCCGGCGGTTGTGATCGGCCCCCGACATTTTCAGCATCGTCAGTCGTCTATTGACAATCAGTGTGCCGATCACGCTAGAGTAACGCGTGATCCGCTTTGTACGGTAGTGCACCTGCGCTCAAGAGGAGCTCAACCCGACCACCAAGATGGCGGCCACGCATCTCGACGTCGGCCTTCGCTGCATCAAGTATCTGCTATGCGCGGTCAACTCTCTCTTCGTGGTCGGTAGCTTATGCCACAACACCGTGGCGTATTCTCCATACTCTCTCTCTGTCTCTCATTGCAATTTACTTTTTTCTTTTACACACGAAATTCGCTTCTCGCGAACAATCCCGCGACAATTCCGCCTTCACGCGTAGAGATTCCTTTATCTTCAAGATAATCTTCGGTCTGACGAATTTCTGATTAAAAAATAATAAAAGATGTTATTTCTTTTTCGTAGAAACATCGAGATAAATCTTTTTTTAAAGATAAATAGATAATACTGATCTGAAAAGAGACACTTTATAAAATTTGTCGATCAACGCGCGTTACAATACGAAGAAGATAATTTTCTTATGACGAAAGATATATCCATAAATTCTATATTTTAACGGCGATTGTTGAGATGCGCGCCCGCGGCACGTGTTATTATTATACAAGACCTCACCGAAATTATATACACGTATGGTATGTAAAGTCTTCATCGATTAAGTTCGCGATGAGAATTGATGGCAACGTCGTCGTCCTTGGAAAATACCGTTGCGACGCAAGTTCGAGGAAGGTGTAATTGCGCGTTATGCGAATGCTCTTTCACATGTAAACCTGTACTATAGCTGTGTTCCAGAATTGCTGCCGGTGCTAAAATTGTATAATATAAGTGACGCAAACTATAGATATTTAGCGCTGGCAGTGAATTTTGGAACACAGCCTTATATTACACTATACCACACACATAATTATTGATTGCTATTATATCCCTCGAGCGTGTAGCGGGTAATGCCTAGATTCTAAAAAAGAAGTTTGATCAGCGGCAGGAGTGATTATTGACCATCTCTCTGCTTTTTTGCACGAACAAAAGAAACCGCGTCGAGAGTTTTTGCCGAAATATATAGACAAGATATTACGTACAATAATTATCTACAAAAATATATTTTGCGTTCGGAGATAGAACGAACAATAATCTGCAAATTGTTGTTTACAATCTAATACGAGACGTCAATAAATAGATTTTTGCTACACAACTGCGTTGATTTCAATTAATTGCGAACGACAAATGCGAAAAATTTGATCGTTTTTCTTTTTCGCGTAACATATATACCACATTTGGCATTTGAAAACCAATCTCGAATATTTCAATGTTATCGTAGAGCAATATAAACATACATTTTGCAAAAACGACTAATACAGACAGTTAACAACAAGCAGAGTTTAATTATTTAAGATAATGCGCTATCAAAAAAACGCGAAGCAACAATCGAATCGGTTCGCCATTTTGGGGTAAACTCTAAAGATAACATATCTGATTAAATGTGTTAACGAAACACAAAGCTTTTTTATATATAAAAAAACCAACAGAAAATGCGCGCAACGCCAGTAGTGTCCTTTTATTTGTATTCTTTTCGTTCTCTCTCTCTCTCTCTCTGTTAAATAACGAGATGTGGACCATGTGGAATCACCGATGATCAGTTTGCACCTGCAAACTGAGATCGACGACGTTGCACGTATTGATGCGCAAAATTAATCAAACGTGCAAACTTGTACGCAGTTGTAATTTTTTTGACGATACTTTACACACGAAGGAACGAACGTTTCTTGTCTCAACCGTTGGTGGTCGCTTATCAATGGCAGATAAAGCATTTAAGGATAACGCGAATTAACATAAAAGGCGAAGACATGCCGTTTGACAAATAAAATGTTTAACATACGAATAAAATAACGTAACGTAATGTAACAATTCGCGAATATTTGATAATAATCGGACGCTTACAACATATGTAGTTGCACTTTTGCGTGCATATCTTGCATCTAAAGAGAAAAACGAATGAGAAGTGTTTGTTGAAGTGCTTGTAAATAAGAGATTTTCGTTGTTTTACAATAGTTGTAGCGTACGTACTGGAAGTAAAATATCTTTCGACTTATGTCACACGCCTACGTGCGCCTAAGAAATGGTTTCCGTTTATCAGTAAAGATAAATTTCTATGTTCTTAAAACCGCGTATCACCTTTATCACGCTATTTTTAATTGAAAGTAACTCAAAACATTTTTATCATCTTAAACTTTAAAACTGATTTCTGATTTCAACGAGGTTTCAAAACGTTTTTTATTTATTTTATTTTACGTATTCAAATATTGAAAACAACGTAACGTTTTTATTATTTCGTTTGAAGTTAATTAAAGATATAGAAACTGTTCGCTTCGTGTGAACACAAATGATAGAGAACAGCTTATCGCGCGAGAATTACGCAGCTCGCTTTGTGAAAAACAAATAGGAGAGACATCGGTGATGTGTGCATAGTGATTATTCTTCGCACATCACCGACGAAAGTGTCATTCCGAAAATTAACTTGACTAAGAAAAATTATATATTGATTCATCGTGTAAACAAAAATATAACCGACACACATTTCGGACAGCTCGAAAACAAAAGAAAGAATTTTCTCGCGCAAAAATAGAGCAACAACGATATAATTGCAAATTGTCAATCAATTATCGCAAATGCTGTAGCATGTAATAATTTTCATATGCGTAAGAAAGATACGTATATTATTATAATATTGTTATAATAATAACCGACACACATTTCGGACAGCTCGAAAACAAAAGAAAGAATTTTCTCGCGCAAAAATAGAGCAACAACGATTTAATTGCAAATTGTCAATCAATTATCGCAAATGCTGTAGCATGTAATAATTTTCATATGCGTAAGAAAGAGATACGTATATTATTATAATATTGTTATAAGTTTTTTTTTTTTTTTTACGACCAATGTTGACGAAGTTTATCATTTTGTGATCGCAGTTGACGGGGGTGATGATAATATCGATCGGCACGACGATATACGCAGTTTTCGAAAACTTTTCGCAATTTCTGGACTCGAGTTACGTGTCACCAGCCACGCTTCTGATCGTGGTCGGGATACTCGTCTTCGTGATAGCGTTTCTTGGATGTTGCGGCGCGCTGAAGGAGAGCACTTGCATGGTTCTGGTGGTAAGAAGACACAAACGTGCTAAAAACACAAAAAACAAAAAAAACTGATCTTCCGCATTTCTTTGAATTACTTCCATTGTCCCGTTTATTTATATATATGTGTTTTATTTTTTTTAGTTCGCGTTTTCTCTGTCGATTGTACTGATACTGGAACTTGCCGCCGCGGTTGCCGCGTACGCTTTGCAGGACAACATCAAAGATTTTCTAGCCGACAAGATCTCCACGACGATGCACGAATACGGAAAGAACGAGGAAGCAACGTTCGCAATCGACTTTATGCAATCTAGGGTAATGCTCAATCTCGTTGATTGACGTCTATTAACGTTGTTTTATCGAAAAATATTGCGAGATATCAGAAAGATTCCGTTCGATACGACAAAATGTAAGAAGGCTTTACCGCTTCTTGGTCGTAATTTGTCGTGTGATTTGAGATTACGCAGAAGCTTTTCCGAGTTCAAAGCATCATTCGATCTCGTTGTTTTGCAGTTACGTTGTTGCGGATACAACAACTATCTGGATTGGGACGATATACCGCTCAATAACACGGACGTTCCTGATTCTTGTTGCGCTTATGTGGTGATAGATGAGAATTCCTTTGTGGATCGTTGTCAGATCAAGTATCAAGAAGGTTGTATCAGCCGCTTGTCCATTATCATTCATCGTAGTGCGTTGTACATCGGTACTGGAGCCGTAGCAATCGCTCTTATTCAGGTACAAGATTCAATTTTGACGTTACATATATTGTTATACAAGTATGTTTTTTTTTGCATGCTTTTGTGTTTATTAAAACTGATATTTTTCTCTAGTTAACGGGAATTATGTTCGCTTGTATGCTGGGCCGAGCAATCAGGCGACAAAAAACGGAAAGAGAAAGACGTCGATGGGAATTGCGCGAAAATCTTGTCAACGGTTACGAACCGCTGGGAAAATCTGATCCTTTTACTACGTTTCCCGTAGTGTACATGTCGCCGGATTACCCGTTGAAGGGCGTTCAAAAATGTTAATTTACACACACAAAAAAAAAACGAAAAACAAATTTATTATTCCTACAACCCTCAGGAAGAGACGTTTATAGAAGTAAATTTTTAATACCGTTTCTATTATTCTGTAATATATATATATGCGTTTATACAAGAATGAATATTTATTCCTCTATAGTTACCTTGTTATAACGAAGTGAATTATATTATGGTGAATATATAGATAAAGAAACTGTTCTCTTATTCCACAAAGTAATTTTGTGATTTGTACAATTCTTAGATTAAAAGTTAGTTACACATGTACAATCCAACTATGGTTTGCTTTAAAATAATTTGTATTTGATTGTTGAATTCAAAATTTGCATATCGGAAAAAAGCTAAGTGTTTTTTTTTTAATATATATATATATATATATACACGTACATGTATATATATGTATACAAGTATACAGAGTTTGTTGTAAAAGATGTTAATATGTACTCATTGTATATCATACACTCTGTACATATTTATGTGCTAAGAAAATAAAAATTATTTTTAAATCAATAATAACAAGAAGATTCTTTGGGCTCAGGAGTCTTTAAACTAATGAATGAAATAAACTGAGTTGTAAGAGCTGTTTGCAGGATGTTGTGCAGAGAATGTGCTTAAATATACATATATATATTTACACAACATATTTATTTCATTCATTAGTTTAAAAATTATTTTATTCTATTTCAATATTTATATTTATTGTGTGCTACGACAATAACTGTCTATTAAATAAAGTCAATAATTATTTAAATTCGATTATTTATTAGTATCACCAGAAAAATGAAGCTTGTTTCAAAATTTCAGTAGCTTTGTTATAATGCTCACCATTTTCAAGATACGGAGGTGTCAGTTCACGATATGCAAGGCAAACGCGTCTTGACTTTACATCTTGTCGAAGCACTGAATGTTCCCACTTGTATCTACCAAAACAAATAAAAACCTATTTCTTTGACGGAACCTTTGAGATTTTAATTTGAAGAATGTATTGAAAAATATAATATACCTGGCAGCGCCATATAAAATCATAACAGATCTGGCGGGCATTGGTAGTCTTACTACTACATCATTATCAATATTTAAACTCTGTACATTATCAGAAATGTCTCTTTCCAAAATAGAATCGTATTTTGAGACACAGTCTAAATTATACCTTGTCAATGGGCCACGATAAGGAGTCATGGTCAGAACAGAATTACCAAGAACATTTACAGTAACTATACGCTCTCCCCAAATCCAACAATCATCAATATGAGGATCGATAGAGGCGCCTCGTACAGTATCATATTCAAGAGAACACTGCTCGACAGTTTTGAAATCATGTAACAGGGGTATTTCCTTAAATTTCTTCTGTACAAATTCTGTTGTTTTTGGAAAACCTTTAAATGCTCCTAATTGCAATTTCCGCTTTTTGAAATTACATTTTGGTCCAAAATTCTAAATAAAATTAAAGTAGTTTAGCTTGAAATGCACAAAGAAACACTTAAAAACTATTTAACTCCTTAGGAAAAGTATATACCTGTTTTCTTCTACCACTCTGCGAAGCTTCCCAAGGAAGATCATCAAGTGCTTTCGTTAGCTTTTCAGCTTCATCTTCACTTAAGAAATCTAGCTGGGACATACATTATATATACAGTGTTGATTATGTATTAAACAAGATATATTGTACACGCTCAATTCTCCATATATTGTGTCATCATATTACCTTGATATAAACACCAGAATAATCAAGCAAGTTGTTGTCATCATGGTGAGGATGATTCTTATACTCATCTATGTCCCATCCAGATAACAATTTGTCACAACAAGGACAATAAACGTAACTTTTGTTTTTCTGTAAAATTATACACGTAACACGTATTTGAAACTGAGAAATAAAGAGCAATAACTGGAAATTGTTTATATGTAAGTTGTGTGTTTTTTTAAATCTACCTTTACACAACATTCAATTAGACTTTTTAGCAGAGCAGGTTTATATATTATCTTTAACATGTTTTTCCAGTCTTACTTCAGATTTTTTTCAACACAGTACTTTTTAGCATATTGGTAATAGGTTAGAAAACTGCAAATTTTTTACCTGTAATTCGCTCTTCAAGTCCGGCTTGGATATTTTATATTCCGCTTCGCAAATTAAACAAGATCGTATCCCCTTGCAGCCGCACGGTCGAACAGTTTCCATGATTTGGTTCTTACCAAGTATTGTCAGGAATGAGATCAACTCTCAAGCACGCAATAACGAAGCGAACTATAAATCGTCTCTAAATTGTAGCGCCGGCTGTCGTTTGGAAATGTATCAGAGCGTATACATCTACCTGAATCCGAGATGGAAAACTTGTGTCAATTGGGCGATAGCTGAGAAAAATGTTCACAAAATGTTATCATAAAAAAATACAAATATTCTCGAATATATAAATAAATTCACGAGGTCAATTTTGCATTTGATACACGCAAGCGCGGAGATCGAGTTTACGTGTGACATTACAGTGCATGTTTCCGAATGTAATTAACAATTCTCTCAGATTAGCAAGTGGTAGTAGTCCGTTTCGCGTTGTTAAATATTTATTAGAAAAGTTTAATATTCTACAGATACGTTGCTCTTATAGAAATATAATATGTACAAATGTGTCATTTGCACGCGAGAATTTTTTATAAGAAGGTGTGAGTGCGTGCGCGATTGACAGATAAAAAAAAAGTCAGATAATACACCTGCGAAAAATCATTGTTGTCTTATTTTATGAAAACTGTGCGATGTGAACAATTGTTGTAACAGCAATTGTTGTAACAATTTTGCCGAGTATCACAAAAGACATACAATATGACGTGGTAAGTTAACTTAAAAATGTTATATATATATATCAATAATAATTTATTTATATTAAATTTACTTAAGATGCATACATTGAACAAACAGGAATCCGTTGAAGAAAAATTATCTGACTCAGAGACCAACTTTTGCACCACCACTTCTATCGTACACAGAAGATAACCAGTTAGATCTTGTTGTTCAAAGACTCATCTAGTACGTATCTTTTTCAATGAGTTATATTTTTTATAGTTATGATTTATATATGGTTTTTCATCGTAATAATATTGACTTTGCTTCGAGTGTTGAGGATACAATAAGAAAATTAACCAAGGAGATGAAAAAGTACATAGGAGCTCTGGAAAATTTGGATAGAGCCGATCAGCGACTAAGCACGAACTTAATTAATTGTGGATTGGCGCAGAATAACGACGAGTACAGAAAAATAGTGGAAGAATACTCTTCCGTCGCTGTACAAGTAGGTGCAAAATATCTCGATATTTTCTCTGATTAAAATATAGCAAGACTGACTTCTTGTGTGAATTATCAGGTGGGAAAGAACATTCACGAAATGACCGGTTTGTGCTACAAAACGTTTATAGAACCGTTGAAGAAATTTAGAGGTGAATTCGCCATCATCGCCGCGGCGGTGGCAAAACGAGAAGAACTGGCGACCACGTGGAGATACTTGTACAATCGCGTGAAGAAACTGCAAGAAAAGAAGGACAGGACCGCGAGTCACATCGCGAAGCTTGAGAGAGAACGTAGAGCGGAGGAAGCGGCTGCCAAAGAGCTTAAGACTGTACACGCCCAATTACTCAAGGAATTGCCAATGTTCTTGGAAAAAAGATTAGAATACATTAATCCGAGCATTCACGCGATGATTATGATACAGTTAAATTATTACGGACACGCGACGCAGTTGTACACGTTGTTGATGCCTGTGCAATACTCGGAATGCAACGCGTCGAGTACAACGTTGCCCGAGGAAGAGTATCAACGAACCATAAACACCGAACTGAATAGATTGAGGTCGCTTACTATAGTAAAAGATAGTTAAGACACGTTTGTATTTCTCTAGAAATTTCTTGAAATATTTATAAACATTTGACAACACATAAAACATGCATATCACAAGAGAGAATGTTTTTCAGATAAAAATATATTCGTTATTTTTTTTTTTCAATGAGAACATATAGTAATATAAGCGATGAGCGTTGTTATGTGTTTTATTTTTGTAGAATAATAATAATAATTAAATATTTCATCGTTACATAGTATGTATATATATATATGTATATATGTATATACACATGCTACGTATACGTTTATCACTTGGCAGTATGAATATTCCACGTGTAAAATGAAAATATACATCGCTTTAAGATGGTATTATACCCTGTCTTTTCTTCATTTGGGAACCCGTTCGACGATTGTGATTATTACTCTGCCTGTGCTGCTTGTTATTTCTGACTTTGTTAGTCGAGCTGCTCTGGTTTTGATCGCCACCTCTAGATTTGCCTTAAACAAAACACAGTTCAATAAACAAAATGTAAAGATATCTTAAAAGAAATTTTTAACACAAAACAAACTTGAAACGTACCATATGTATTTCTACTTTCTTTTGCGAATCTTCGCTGTTCGGCTTTAACACGCGCATCCGCTGGATTCTCCACAAAATAATTATTATTATTTTGCACCGGCTTCTCATTGTCATTTTCATCATCCTCAGAGCTGGCTTTGTTATATGAGCGAAACACCTGAAATACACTTTGTTGTATAAAAAAAAAACAAAAGTTAAAGTTCAAATCGATAGAATCTCAAAAGTAAAAAAAAGATGAACTAACTCTTGGAGCAAAACATTTGGTATCTACTTCTGTAGAATCATCTCGCATACCGCCACGAATGTTGTGACTGTCATAGGTATCGTCATATTCGTCGTCGTAATCACTAACAACGCTATATTTTCCATAGAAAGCTCGATGGTTTTTCATTTCGGATTTGTCGTCCAACATTTCTCTTGCATTTCTATACTTATATTTCCTAGAAAAAAATTATGTTTATTTATATAAAAAAATTTAAATTCGTTCTTTTTTTTTTTTTTAATTTAGCAATTTACTTTTTCTGCGTTTGAAACACGGACGTGTCCGTATATTGTGTCAAGTTGGATTCGTCATTGTTGGAAAATTCTAATTTTTGTAAATCACGAACGGCTAAATCTACAGCAGCCGACACTTCCTAGAAATAAATAACAAACACAAGTTTTTAGTTAATTCGAACAAGTAACGAAGCATAGCATAGATATTACTCTACCTGTGGATCTAACGGTATATATGGTACTGTTGTATCCAATTTTTGTAAAGTGGGTGGCAAAGTGTTGTCCAAAACTGCGTGTATCACATCCTCAACATTATTGTCATAATGCTTTAAACATGCCTGAAAATTTCAGATCAGATCCACACATAAATATAATATATAAAGAATTATATGTTAAAATATATATTACACATATAAGAACTCATTATTATCATACTAATTGAATAAAAATTTTATATTAATTTAATATTAGGAACAGAATTTTCACCTGTATGAATCCTTCGCCATAATCGCATAAGATTTCTTTTACTTCCGAGACGAGACGAGACATTTCGTCAGTGTCTTTAGATTTTATTTCATCCTTTGTCCGCTTCGTAATATTATCTTCTTTAACCTTTTGACTGTCTTGTATGCTACTAGATCCACCAACATTTCTCTACAAGAATCAGACCGGCAGTTGTTTAGTTTTTTCTATCAAAAATAACCGATATATTTACACATATATGTGAACTGTCACTTACACTCGTATCATTAGAATATTCATTAACTACTGTTGTATCTCCAATCGATGCGCTCAGTGCTTGCAAGATATACTCATGTTTTATTGAATCACTAATAAAATTTGTTATGGAATATTCAGACTAAAATAATAAAAGCTGTTTTAATTGTTTCTTTAATACAAACGCTCGAATTTACTCGCAACTGTCGAAGAAAGCTTTAATATACTGTGTAATATATAAAATTTTTTAAAAAAAGGATACACTTCAGGACACAATTTGCACAAACTCTCAAGATCAGGCTTAATTGGATACAATCGATGATAATCTATAATAAATTCCTTTTCGGATATAGCATTTATTAGTGTATTCAAATATTCATCTATATATCTTCTTAGTTCACTTTCAGGTATCGTATTGCTAAAAATACAAAAGAAATTTATTACATATATTTTTCTCACGTCAGTTTTAGAACGTTCTCACAATGTTTTTTTAAGCGTTTAAATTGGATTTTCTTTTACGACGTACTTACTTTTTTTCCCGAATATTTGATATAGGCTCATATATAATAATTCGATAAAGTTCCAACATTTCTATTCTAGTTACGTCCAGACGATGTTTTAATTCTATGTACTTCGGCATATTTTCATCATTCAATGCCAACTTGTCTAATTTCTGATACATTTGAGGTATCGTATTTCCATATAACGAAACTATTCTAGCAAATAAAGATACAGTGGAAAATGTTTTATCACTTAGACTTAGAGTACGCGCACACAAATACAGTAAAAAAATTTATAAAATTTACTTAAAATTTAATAATGACAAACGCATTAATTACAAGAAGAAGAATAAAGCTCTATATTCCATTAATTGGTAGGAAAATAATGTGCAAACTCACTTGTTCATAAAGTCTTCTCTGTGAAATATTTGTATCACTGAAGGATAAATTCGTAATAATACTGTAAGAGTTGATGACACATCTAAAATATATAATATCACGTCCTCTAAATTATATAATGTCATGTCAATAGAATTTCTTTGTTCTGAAAGTGCTACTGCTTCTGTACCATAGATTGAACTGTTGTCAAATCTTCGTTCAACATTCTCAAGTGCCTGTGTTAACAGAAGTGTTGATTTCAAAAGTTAAAATCTATAAGAATTATATTTCTATTCATATACATATATGTATATATAATTGAATACTAAATTATACATTACGCTTATTAGGCATGGTACGGATTTCTGAAGATCATCATTGTACATTGGTTGTAGATCAAAAAGACATTGTAGAATCTTTTGCATGACCTTGGCATTTTCTCTACCATACAATTGACACAAATCAAATATAATAGGTATTGTAAAAATATAATTGTCATACAATAAATTTCCAAGGAATGCATTGTTCATGTATTCTGTAGGACTTTCTTTGTTTGTGACCAAACGTGCAAAAATCATAAGTACAGAATAGCGAAGCTTTTCCAAGTTTTCTCTTACTCTTCGTATTGTAGGAAAATTTTCCAATGCATAAAAAGGTGGAGCTTCTTGTAGAAAAGATACTAAAGTATCTATAATTGCAGTATTAAATACAATGTTGGACCAGAACCTAAGGAAGAAAGAAGTTATATATATGCTTCTATATGAATATTACAAAATTTTAAAAACAACTATAGTATCATACCGATGAAACCGAAGACCAAGTAACCAGTTTAAATCTTCAATGATATAATCTGTGATCTCCAGCCAATGGTTCTTAGCACCTTCTATTTCTGATCCATCTTTATCGTATATTTCCGGCACTTCATAATGTAAAAAATAACGCTTTTCCACCCACTGTGGACTCTAAAAATAACAGGAAAAAACATTTCAAAAATACCTATTTGATTTGACAATTATACAATGAATTACAACACGTAAATAGTTAACATTCAAAAACGTTTTTTGAGTTTGAACCACGTTAGTGTCATTTTTCAGCTTACTTTATCAGGGTTTCAAGAGTAACCTGATAGTAAGTATAATACTGAGTATCAGGTTGCTCATGAAATCCTGATAAAGTGAGCTGAAATGTTCACGAAACGTCGGTATAAAAATGAGACTAACACAGTTCAAACCCGAAAAACATCATCGAACGAACACATCGCGAAAGTATTAAATATTAGATAGTTTGCACCAAATATGGATTTAAAAAGTAACATACCAAAGCACTTTTTACCAAAACTACTCCATCAGTCTTGATATGCAATTCCAACTCCTCTAACGGCAGGAAATTGGGATTCTATTTAAGTAAACAAAGTTAACATAACATTTATTGAGATAACATGTTAACATTGATTTAACATTACGCAAATATAAACTTTACTTTCCAAACGTATACAAATAACTGGTAACTGAGAATCACCTTGTAGAAATCCATTTCACACCGTGCATTAAAATCAACTGGAAACAACTTTTTCTCTCGATTGTCAATTTGTTTTATTAGCAAACTCTTACAAAAAAAATCGCAACACATGCGATGAAAACAATGCAGCACGTATATTAGGTTGTCACGTCTTTTACCTCCTTCCCAAAAAAAAAAAAAAAAACAAACAAATCGCGATATTGTCAAGAGAGAGAAAATCAATCTTACAGATTAAAACAAAAGTGAATGTCAGATCTTTTTGAACTAAAAAACCACATAAAACGTAAAAAGCCGGGCAATCCCAGTGAATCCCAAATCGTTTCGTGATTATACGTGTCACAAATTCTTGGAAGGGGAATAACCATCCAGAGGTAAGCCTGTTGGCTTGTTTCAAAGACCAGCGACATTGAGCGACACCTGTCAATGCATACGATTTATTGGGAAATAAACTTTAGGGCTTGTGTCCATGATGGCCATGATGCTACGTGGAAACAGAGAGAAGTCTGAGAGCGACCAGACCCATCAGAAAATGAGTAATCACTTTTCCTCCCCGTAAACTAGCGCTATGTCCACTGGTGGTACACATTGAAACTACGCAGCCAGTCCACGAGCGACATGTCGGTATGTCCTCACCGTGCGGTTCTATTCCGTGCTATGTAAACGCGTCCAAATGGTCATCTTCTTCAGGCGTGTGAGTATATTCGCGAACGTGGATTTGATTTCTTTTGAAATTTAAAATGATCGGTCTCGTGATAAGAAAATACGAAAGGAGAACAGAAAAGGATAAAAAAAAAAAAAAAAAACATTGCAACTTTCCACACAACATAAATGTGATATACAAAAAAAGATCTAATAGTGAAGAAAATAATATTATTTAAGCGAGCAGCATCAGAATTCGTGGAGTGTATCAACTCCTTTTACATCATCATTTGCTGCTTTT